GGAAGCGCGTTAAATACAAGTGATGGCAGCAACTGTTCTGAAATCCCATATATTAATCGTGGATGAAGCGTGCAAGTCTTGCTAGTCACACTCGCCATCGCCATGGGCTGTGACTCCCATGCCTCCCCTTAGCACAGGGTTACTCCACAAAGTTTACTCTGGGGTCAAAATATTGAAAATGGGAATCGTTACGTGCCAGAGGCGCGAACCTCTGCATAGAAAGATCGTTAATACAACTGTCAGTGATCCGCATGCCACTTGATAAGCCTCTGCGGGCCAGATCTGGCCTGCTGGCTGACAGTTGAATAGTCCTGCCATAGCAAAATGTAACAATATATGGTTCTTTATTAATATCTTACACCAAACGACGCCACAGGACAGTCCAACATTTTAGAGGGTGGTAAGACTGGTTTCCCGGTTTTCTAATGCTTTAAACAATCCTAAAACATCTAGAACTGGCCCTAACACCAACCCACCAACGTCCCACGAGAAATTGCAGTCTAGGTTCCACAACTGCATGCAGCCTATCTAACACCCCCTGAAATATTAGGCTGTCCCATGACCTGTGGACTTTCTCTTTTGGCGTAGGATTGTTAATAAAGCACCCTTCTTCTTCTTAAAGTCTACACCGTGTGGCGTTAGTGGTGATTGCCACAACCTGCGGTCTCCTGTAATTTCAACATAGATGTTCATTAATGCCACAATATCAAACTGTCCAGCATATTCTCTCTTGGTCTCCTTCTGCCCCTCCTCCTCTCCAACTTTCCCAACGTCACAATCACTACAGTTTTCTCCTTCTCACGACATGACCAAAGAATACAGATAGTCTCTTTCGTATGTGGGATGTCAGTTCTTTTTGTGAGTCAATTTTTTTTTTAAAACCATCTTCAGCACTTTTTTTTTTTAAACCTGTCTTGGTATTATCATTCGTCTATAAAACCACATCTACGCAGCTTCTATATAGTGTGTTTTTTTTTTTTCCACGAATCGACCACCTATCAATGATTCACTTCTGTATATCAGGTTAGAATTTATATAGCTTTTAAGAACTCGTCTCTATTGACAAAGTAGGACTGAATAGAATGTTCTTTATTTTGTGAAGCGCTGCCTTTGCTTGATCTATTCTACAGTTAACCTCTTCAATACATCTCCCATCTGATGTTTTCAGGGTACCCAAGTACTTAAACGTATCAGCTTGCTTGAGGATTGCCCCATTTAGTTTGATGTTGCATTTCATGGGGTCCATTTTCTTCATAATTTCCATTATTTCTGTTTTAACGCTGTTCAGACTAAGACCATTGTTTTGACTTTCTGTAATCAGTATGTCTGAAATATGGTTATGACAGACGAAAAGGTGCCAACAACACACATCCGTAAGTCGGGTTTAATTCCAAGCCACTATACTTAACTAATCCAGGCGCAGACCCGAGGATCTAGTCATCTTTCCCCACTACCGTCTACGTTACTACACCTTTCTATTATCCATCGGAACAATAGGACGACAAGAATGAGAAATTCAAACCGCGGAGCCCCACACGAAATCGATATATCCCACCTCCTGGTTATAGCTGACTGGTACACCTCGAGGTTCCGCTCTGATTAACCTTACTGGCTAGTTATCACATTCCGTCCAATCATGGCCAGCCGAGCCTCTTTCCCAGTCAGCAAGTCCCGGGTACTAGGCAGGGCTGCCGATGCCGGGTTTTTACCCCCAGATCTGGGTTTTTATTTGACGCCTTAGGTTCACATTTTAAATTCTGTTTTTTTTTTTTTTTAAATATATCCTATATAAAGTGGGTAAATGTTTCGTTTCGTAACTATACAATTTGTACTTTTTTAACACTGGGTTTTTATTGTGTTTTTTTGTTCTGTGCCTATATATTGCTTGGGTTTTGTTCAGCTTAGCTGGGTTTTTCAAAAAAAAAAAAATCCCGTTTTCAGCCCTGGAACTAGGTACTACACCCAGTGGCATACCTTGCCTGTGACAAATATACTGCTCCATGATCGCTGCATATTTTTCTGACGTGTCTCCTGGACTAAAAAAAGCTTTGGTGTTAACAATAGGCGGAGTAAAACCAGCGAATGTTGGCATAAATTGCCAGGTAATATCACAGAATGCCAACTTACGATCGTCGTGTAAAGTCGCACTTGCAACAATCGAGTGAGTGGATATTTATTTTATTTTGTGTGTGATTGTTATACCTTTTCTTTGAAGTAAACAAGGCAGGCCGATTAGGGGGATAATGATGCATGGGCACATGGTGGTATTTATGAATCTGCCCAGGCGTTGTGCTATGGATATGAGGGACTTTATTGATGACCTTAATTGATATTTGTGGTGTAGTCTTCTACTTCTTCATCGCTTTCACCGGTTGCAAACTCCTGCGAAAGCCAAGAATAGACCCACTGCCTCCCTACAAGCATGTCGTAAGAGTCGACTAATTGGGGTGGGGTGGGGGTCTTTGAAGTCTGTTTACATCTGTCTAAGAGATAAGAAACCGACAGTCTGCATACAAATAAGTAGAATCTGTTGAAAGATATGTACGCAATACTCAGATTCTGGACCAAGACTAAAAGCCAAAGGTGGATAAATAATCAGAACTTTCCGCCAGAGTTTACAGCCGAAGAACGCGAAGGAAAAAGAAGGAAATCAAACGAAACGAACAGTGCTTTTTTTTTTAGTGATTCTTAGTACAGTTTTCATCCCCGGGGTTTTCAGTATACTGTATATAAATACTATACAATATAATGAAATAGTGGAATAGATGCAGAAGGAAAACAACATAAATGATTTGGACGGGTTGTCAGCTCGGCCGACATACTTGAGTACCAAACTACACGACACGGACTATGATAAGTTGAAGATCAACTCATCCCCCCCCCCCTTTTTTTTCCCCGGAAAATAAAAATTCATACCATCAAAGGACTTTATGTAATACCAGAATAAGCAATTTCAATGGTTTGAGATTAACTCTGTATTAAATTGTTGTGGAATTCAAGCTAAGTTATAGACATGGCCAATGAAGACACCTTTTTAGGGGTGTTTAGTTGGTCGTGTATCTTAGTACATTTTATTCCATAGCCAGGCGCACACGTCATTTAGAGGTGACAGGTTCAATTTCTGGCACGGTAACTAAAGCTTTCGATTTTTGGGTTATCTAATGTGCCATTCTACCTTTTTACTTTTACTATAAGTGCCGATTAGAACACTGTTTGTTTGTTATATATTGTTTGTTTGTTTTAGTATCCAGAAGCCATGAGTTGTTAACCCTTAGGCTCGGAATTATGGATATCGCAACCTTTCGGCCTTGATTACACTGTAAATACCGTAAATCTGGGAGAAATGTGGCTTTTCTGCCTACCCCCGGGAGTTAACCCGGACCACAAGGAGTTCGTCACCCGGTCTCCGCGCAATCCGGTTTAGCCAACTACGCTAGAGAGCCGGGCGTTTGTTATATATATAAGGTTACACCAGGCTAGTGCAGCCGCCACAGGTTCTTCAGTTATTACCTTTTTCAAGGCTGCACATGGTATTTATAATGTGTTCTTTTTGTCTGCCATCCGGGTTATGACTTTGCCCCGTGTGAGTTCCATGATCCTATTTAGAGGTGGGGGTGGGGGACACGACTCACAGGCCCTTAACAAGCATGCCGTAAAAGACGCCTTATTAAAAATTGTGACATTTTGACGACTTTTGGTCGAAGATGCAGATATCACTGCCTAGCTATAACCCGCAACACATCGTGCAAACCGCTTTTCAATTGGCGAACCCAGAAGATGGAAACTCTTGAAGTTATAGAGGTCAGAGAACATACAGATAGCGGCTACTAGGGATAAGCAGACAGGGACCTGTTCACGTTTCCCGGCCCATCTACACACTTTCTCAGTCTGATCTAGGTCATAGGGGTGTCTCGTTGTACCGTTTTCTTCGAAAGGTTTCTCGTGTGACCTAGACTCGGGCTGTTGGTAAAGGCGGGGGGGGGGGGGGGGTGAATGTTAGTTCTGGGGACGTGAAAAGCTGTGTCATTGTGCAGTATAGAACACGCGACATCGGTGCTGATGTAATTAAAGCTAAGACAACGTGACAATCGTCTGGCGTAGAACAGTCTGAGAAAGTATGAATGAAAGGTCAGGCAGTGTGTAGACGGGCCGGGAAACGTGAACTGGACTGCAGGCAGGCTTTGCTTCACAAACTACACCGCCGGCGACCTTTGAACCGGGACCAGAGCGACACGCCTTACGCGTTCCTCGCTGACACACCCCCTCTGTTTCTACCACCATGACTAAAAATCAACTGCGGAATGAAATAGCAAACTAGGTCAACTACCTGGCTATTGATTCGGGGTCGTCTTTTGTTGTAAGTAAAGCACTCATTCAAACAAAGCTGACAGTTTGACATCTCGGCAGCTGAAGCCTTGACAACCATCTCTAGTGTACCCATGAGTTGAGAAACTACATGCAGGATTTAGCGGGAGATAAATGTCGACGGTCTGAGGAGGATTATCAGTGGATTTGTATACTTTTCCCACCTTTTCTGTCTCTCTCTCTACCTAAGGGTATCCTTTAGAGTGGATTAAAGGCGGATAGAAGATGTCGAAGCCGACGTCTACTGCGATAAAAAGATGTGTGCAAGCGGAACAAGAATGATACATGTATTGCGGTGGACTCATGGGAACAAAATGCCAATGATCGTGTTGTGTGGAGGGGTCCCATCAGGAAGGGAATGAGAATGAAGTGAGACAGAAAACGTTTCGTACCTGACTGCCGCGATGGCGCAGTAACCAATACGCTTGCCTGGACTCAGTTCTTGTCCATGTAGTCCACTCTAACCTTGTTGTTTCCACAGATTCAGCCGTCCCCATGACACGTTTGCTGATAACACCCCATCGCAGCGGCGGCGGCGACCTCCGCCAAAGAACCGGCATCAACCGCAGCGTCAGCATTAGCAGCATCCCCAGCTCGCACAGCTACAGCGGCAAACTCGGCTTCTCCCCGCTCAGCTCCAACAGCAGCAGCAGCAGCCGGATCTTCGTCGACCACCGTCCACAGCACCACTACCTGCAACATCAGCCGAGCTACATTAGCAGCAGCACTAGTAACCTCGCGGCTGCTGCCCGGGACTCTCCCAGATATGGCGGCAACCCGGTGTCCAGAAGCCAGTCCTTTGGTGGGTTGTCCATAGCTGCCAACACATGGCCCGCATCCTCTTCTACAGTTCTAGGGGAGACCATGAGGAGGAGTCCACGAGGCTACAAGAAGATCCACATGCGATTGCCCTCGTTCCGCAAATCCGCCAAAATGCCCAAAGTTCCCAGTCCTAAGCGAGCCATGATGGTGTTCGATAGCGTGAGGAAGGGTCTCGGGTGAGTTATCTGTTAGTTTTTCGTTGTTATTGCCAGTATGCCTCAGTGGTTAGTGTTGTCATTTCTTCTTCTTTTTTCTTCTTCTTTGTCTTCTTTTTTTCTGCTTCTTCTTCTTCTTCTTCTTCTTCTTCTTCTTCTTCTTCTTCTTCTTCTTCTTCTTCTTCTTCTTCTTCTTCTCGCGTTCACTGGTTGTAAACTCCGGCAGAAAGTTTTGGTAGTTTGTCCACTTATGGACTTCAGTTGTGTTCCAGACCTGAGTGTTGCGTACAATTCCGTTTAACATATCTGACTTAACTGTATGCAGATTGTTGGTTCCCTGCTTCTCAGGCAGATGCACTCCCACTTCAAAGGAAGTTCCCAATTAGTCAACTCTTACACCATGCCTGTTGGGTAGGCAGTGGGTCTATTGTTGTTTTCCCACAATGGGACCCCGAAAGTCACACGGAAAAGTGGTTGTCTCTTTGCGGCTGTAAACCCCGGTGGAAAAACCTGGTTGTTTGTCCATTTTTTGACTGCGTCTTTGTTCCAGGACCTGTGATTTGTGTGTGCATCTGTTTTACATATCTCGCTTATTTGTGTGCAGACTGTTGGTTCTTTGACTCTCAGGCAGATGCACTTAGACTTAGAAGGAAGTTCCCCAATTTGTCGTCTCTTACAACATGCTTGTTAAGGCGGTAGTGGGTCCGGTCTTGTGTTTCCCCGGAATGGGACCATGAAACCCACACAGGGATCATAGGTTAGGTTAGTGAATGAGTTTAACAATTTCACAATCCTCGAGCATTAGGGTTTGACCTCAGCGGTGGACGGTTTATTTAGAAGAAAAAAATATGTATAAAAAGATCCCAGTACTGTCTACTGCGAAAAATAATAATAATAATAATAGAACTTACTTACTGAATTTCTAAGTCGCTCCTCCTCAGAATTACTAAGTCGCTCCTCCTCAGAATTACTAAGTCGCTCCTCCTCAGAATTACTTAGTCGCCCCTATTCTACCTTGGGGTGTAAAGGTTTGACTTGTTTGATTTACTAACTTAGTCGCCCCTCTTCTACCTTGAAGTGTAGAGGTTTGACTTGTTTGATTTACTAACTTAGTCGCCCCTCTTCTACCTTGGGGTGTAAAGGTTTGACTTGTTTGATTTACTAACTTAGTCGCCCCTATTCTACCTTGAAGTGTAGAGGTTTGACTTGTTTGATTTACTAACTTAGTCGCCCCTCTTCTACCTTGGGATGTAGAGGTTTGACTTGTTTAACTTACTAACTTAGTCGCCCCTCTTCTACCTTGGTATGTAGAGGTTTGACTTGTTTGATTTACTAACTTAGTCGCCCCTCTTCTACCTTGAAGTGTAGAGGTTTGACTTGTTTGACTTACTTAGTTGCTCTTCTACCTTGGTATGTAGAGGTTTGACTTGTTTGACTTACTAACTTAGTCGCCCCTCTTCCACCTTGGTGTGTAGAGGTTTCACTTGTTTGACTTAACTTAGTCACCCCTCTTCTACCTTGGTGTGTAGAGGTTTGACTTGTTTGACTTACTTACTTAGTCGCTCCTCTTCTACCTTGGGATGTTGAGGTTTGACTTGTTTGACTTACTTAGTTGCTCTTCTACCTTGGGGTGTAGAGGTTTGCTAGAGAGATCTTTAGACTTCTCTATCAGCAATTTTCTTTCTTGCTTTGTTCCTTTTCAGGCCTTTATCAGTTAGGGACTGTCTGATGTTGTCTTCACAGAGGACCCTGGCTATGTCTAGTTTCCTGCCTCTAATATAAGCCCTAGTTAAGACCTTCAACAGAACGGACATATTTAATAGATGGCGTGACTATATTCGAATAAATATAGATTTTTATATTTTAATAATTGTATATTTTTGTTCTTGCAAAAAACAAATGTAGATTTTTGTCTTCTTCTTTATATCCTCTTTTACCGCTTCTGGTGTCGAGGGAGATATATGGTCCTGCTTCTTGCTTTTTTGGCTGCTTCGACCAGAGACACGTCGTGGTACTGTAGAGTTTCTCTGATGTTATCCTTCCATATTGTCCTTCCATATTGTTCTTGGTATACCTCTTGCTCTACGTCCCTCTCATCTTTTGGTATCTGCCTTGAATGGTATAGCATCAGAAAGCATTCTCTCCGAGTGGGAAACCCATTTGATTTGCTATCTTAATAGCAATTGTGAATTGGTTCTGTGCCGACTTTATCTCGTATGACCTCGTTCCTCATTTTATCTCTTCTGGTTACTCATACAGCCTTTCTCAGACACCACATTTCCGTTTGTAAATGTGTACAATGAATAAATAAGAAACCTCCTAAAAGTAAGCACTAATGTGTCTTTTAGAGCAATAATTAATATAAGACCCGGTATTATTGTCTGGGAAACACGTTACGTAGGCAGAGCTGGGTAGAACGTTGCAAAGAGTCAGGGAAAGCGATTGAGTCGAAATGGAAAGAACTGCAAAGACAGTGAAGGGAAACGTAGAGAGAGGATGAGAAGAATGTTGGAAAGGTAAAAAGGTAGGCAGGGGAGAATAAAATAGTAAAGACAGGTCGCTGGGGAAGAATGTGAAGAGACGTTAGACAGTCAGCGACATGTAGATAAGGACAGAGAGGCGGAGATAGGTGTCCAGCAGTGGTTTCCAACTCGTTTTAGGTTGCGTCCCCTTGAGTATATCACAAGATCCCCCGCCCCTTGAGTTTATGACAGGATTCCTCCGCCCCTTGAGTTTATGACATGACCCTGCGCTTCTTGAGTATATGACAAAACCCCGCGCTCCCAGAGTTTACGACAAAACCCCGTGCTCCCTGAGTGTACGACAACTCCCACAAAAGGCGACGAAAAAGTGAGAACACAGGGAAACAGAAAAAAATGGAGATACGTTTTGTCCGGAATTTGTTCTTTATATAAAATTAAATGCGCTTGTTATATTAATTAGATTTTTAAACTGAAGATGTACTAACTGCTCATGAAAAATAACACGTTCTTGTTGTTTTGTTTAATAAATAGCATTAAACTAATATTTTGTCCATAATTAAACCAAAACAAAATGCAGGACTCGTATAACGGAGTATTTAGAGTACAAATTACCTCTACTATCAAGCCAACGGCGCCTTCTCCATGACAACCAGCAGCATGACGATGGAGGTGATGGCAGTGACACAAGCGCTTGCCTGGCTTGAAACACAAAAATACACCCGCGTGTGTATACTCAGTGATTCAATGAGTATGATCCGGAGGGTTCAGGCAGGTTCAGTGCGAAGACAATGGCTTGAATCATTACAGAAGTCCACTGTCCGTGGAGTCACCTTTATTTTTGTTCCGGGACACGCAGGCGTCGATGGAAATGAAAGAGCTTACAGGTTGGCTGGATCCGCTATCACTACCGACGGTCAGCCTATGGATCATGCTGATATTATCAATGCCCTCAGAGAAATGGGAAGGATAGACGACTTTGGTGGCAGTGAATCCACATCACTCGCCAGAATGGCAGACTTGGGAATTAAGATCGGCACAGCAAAAAACGAGACGCACACCAGCTACGCCAGAAGACTTGTTAATCAACATAGAACTGGTACTATTAGCCATCGGACGTTGGGGTTCATACTGAGGGGAGGATCTGAGCACCTATGGACATGTCCGGAGTGCAATGAGGATAACCCAACTAACTAACTATCTATCTACTATCAAAATTGCCTGATACCCCTAATGAAACGTTTCACCACCCCCCCCCCCTTTTTTTCCCCGGCTGTAAGCCTCTGATGTAGAGAGAGGGAGAGTGGGTGACAAAGGAATATAGGTAACGATGGTTTGGCTTGAACAACGGATCAGCACCACGCACAAGAGTGGTAACTGCTCCGTTCTACTTTTAACTCAAGCCCGAGCCCGAACAATCTCAACGCACCGGCGAGGATCCTGAAATACTTTAGGTAGATTTTAAACTCCAGATTTTACCTGGGCAGCACCTTTAGGCTACTTTTTTCGATTTATAACTGCCGAGGGATTAATTACATGCTCAACAATACACACGGGCGTCTGATAATACTACACAGAGACCAGGGGAAATTACTAGAAGTCCACAGAAAAAAAAATCATAGTCTTCACCGCGGTTCGAACCCGGTACCTCTAGTACTTGAGGCTGACGCCATGCCCTGAAACCTCAGAAAACGAGAAAGGGTAGGGAGAGGAGAGATAAGTTATGTAAGGCAGAATGGAGAACACCAAACATGGAGAGATGAAAGTGACCCGGCTAATCCAAAAAGTCCCCAAACTTAACATTCAAATCCACTTGTTTAAACAGCCAGCTCCCAACCTGGCAACTTCAGCTAACACATGATTGCATTTCCCCAGTGGATCTAAACTTGTGCATCTCGACAGGCACCGCCATTAAGTATGGATAAAAACATGCGCCTTCTTAACATCACTCTTCACACGTTGGCGACTGGTCACTCATTGGCTTGCCGGTAGACGACGTCGTCACCGGTCGGGATAGTTTTTTTTTTGTGTGGTCTGTCACCCTTGATCGAATCAACACTGCAAGAGTTGTTTTCAGAGCTATTTAGTGGCCAGCAATGCTAAGAAATTTTATACGGTGCATGTAACTTAGTCACACTAATAACACAGCTCCCCCTCTGGGAATGCTGATTGAACCTGACGATTATTTTTTCGCAATGCAAGGCACATCACGCTTGCCTGTTGGCACACGTTTTGGTGGCGAAATTGACTTTGGCTCACACAGCAGTATATTTTTCGACTGCACACTTGTGTGAAAATATAATTATGAAGTCCTTACGTCTTTTTCAGGACGTAATTTTTTGTTATTTGAAGCCCCACTCTGGCTTTTGCCAGGGGCCGCAATATAGGCAGGCCATAATAATGGCCAAATGTCTGAACGCGGTTTCTGGGACCTCTCCACGGTGATCCTCATCCACATGGTGGCACGTTGTGTCATCGGGTGTTTATCGCTTGTGTGATGTCCTAGTGGGGTAGAAAGTCACTCACTCACTCACTTGTGTGAAAAGAGTTTCTCAGCCACGTCATTAATAAAAACCAAACAAAGAAATTTAATGTATGTTGTTGTAGCGCTTTGTCTTTAAGAAACAAAGCTCTTAGCTGGCATATCAGAATTTCTAACTTCTAAGCAAAGTTCGTATTAGGTCAAAATTGTAAAGTTTTTTAGGTAGAATTTTATTACAGTCCAGTGGACAAGTGGACGAACAACCAGAATTTTCCACTGGAGTTTAAAGCCGATGAACGCGAAGAAAAAAGACAAATTAACTGACCTTACTTGTGTTGTGTTACTGTGTTTGGTTAGATGCCACATGGGCCGCGGGACGACCCCCCCCCCCCCCCACCCCCCCCCCCCCCCCGTTGTGGTCGATTGCTGGTGTAAAAAAAAAACAGTTGAGAAACATTGTTGTTTGGGACCCTTTTTCACGCTTTCAGGCGTGTTGGGCATATAGGGCTAGACTTATATTTTATCGACCAGTCGGCACTCGGTGGGTGATGTGATCAGCATCACGCCGGCCGCCTTTACTACCTATGACTTTGCCTGGTATTCACTTAAGGAAGGATCGACTTGGGAGCCAAAGACATTTTTTAAAGAAAGAACAAATCCGGCTAAATCAGGACTTGTGAGTGGATTTGTTTGTATCATTGTATTGGGTTTCGCAAGTCGACCTAGCCTAAAATGGGTAGCAGGATGTATCTCCGGGGGAAGTAAAAGCAGCTGGCATAATGCTGGCCACATTATTTACATAGTGCCGATTGGTCTAAAAATATAGGTGCTCTTCCCATATACCCGGTGCGCCCAAGGGCGTGAAAAGGGACCTTTGTTTTATTTTACTTTTAAATGTCAGGATCTAAACCAACTACCTTCGGACTTGCAAGCGACCTACTAGCTGCTTCACCACGGCTGCAATGTTGTGATGTTTGTTTTAGTATCCAGAAGCCATGAGTTGTTAACCCTTAGGCTCGGTATTATGGATATCACAACCTTGCGGCTTTGATTCCACTGTAAATACCGTAAATCTGGGAGAAAATGTGGCTTTCCTGCCTACCCCCGGGATTGAACTCGGACCACAAGGAGTACGTCACCCGGTCTCCGCGAAATCCGGTTTAGCCAACTACGCTAGAGAGCCGGGCGCCATGTTGTGATAGATGACTAATACGGATTTGCTGAAATCAGTCGGAAACCGACCCATCCCAGCTCAGATGCGTGTCCTTTCAAGTGGCCTGTGGCGCATGGATTCAGAACCGTTGCCTACGCTCCCAAATTCGAACACCCTTCTAGGAATGTAGGATGTGTCCGCAGAGCTGTTTTCAGAGCAACATCGTGAGGGCGGCGGGTTCGAGCTAAATCCGTGATCTGGGTTGGTGATTTCTGCGACTGTAGCATTCCTCAAGAAAGTGGCCTTGCTGGGGCATTTGGCAACGTTAGGAGATGTCTGCAATAAATATTTGTTGCTCACCTGAGTCATGTGGGTGATTTTATCCCCCCCCCCCCCATTTTTTGTTTGTTTGATTATTTGCTTGTATATTTTACTTATTCTTCGCCTTCATTATCCTCTTATTTCCCTTCTTATCCTTCTTCTTCTTTTTCTTTTCATCATTCTTCTTAACCATTTATCTCCGGAAACAGCCTAAGCCCTCAGAAAACTCTGGCATAGCCGCATAGTTGCTCATGATTTTGACTGGACTTTGCTGCTGAAATCTACCGCCAGCCCTTCCTAGTCTACTCCTACGACACGCATGGAAGATTACAGTGTTACTATTCCCGAGTTCACCTCCACAGAGGAGACATTAGGGTAGGGTCGGAGGTCTCTCTGGACAAACATTGCATATACATCTCTAGCTTGGAATGTAGATCACCTGAATGAGTTGAACAAACCCTGCATGGATATCGGATGATGTTTGCACACCTTGTTTGATGAAGAATTTCGGATCTAGTCTCTGATCCCAGGGCCGTACAGCCAAGTGATTCACTTCACAGTTTTGTCTGACTGACTGCACAGTGAACCCCGTGTATAGTAGGCTGGTGTTACATTAATAGCGCGTCTGCCTGATAGGCAGACCAGTGAATAGACAGATTGGCTGGATCTGCACCACTGGGTGGTGAATTGATACATGACAAGGCCGATATGGTCAAGGCCCTTTGGGAACAAGCAATGGAATCAGTAAAGAAAAAAGATTATTATCGCCTGGAGAGAATGAGTCACCTGGGTGTAACCAGAGGGTCTGGCCATCATTATCATGTAGCGGGCCCTTTTGCAGAACGTCGCTCTCATCACGGTCTGCTTGAAAGAGACTTGGTCTCTCGCCATCTCTCCCGCCTCACGTACTTTCATACTCAAGGAGTCCCTTATATCCTGTGCCCATCTTCGTGTTGGTCGGCCCCTGCCTCTCCTTCCTGGTACCATGCCCTCTGCTAATTTTAGTTTCCAAGACAGGATGCTGTTTATTAGCCAATCTAATATGATGTTCAGATCTTTAAGATGTCAGTATTTCTCCTCTTTTTCGTCCAAGATATTCTGAGAATCATTCTTTAGCCTTTGGCTCACAACACTCAGAGGAAAAGCAAGACGGACATATAACCAAATTCTGACCGGTACCATCAGTATTGGAACTCTGCGCTGGCTGCTGAAAATGAGGATGGGGCATGCCTGGAAATGCCCTGAGTGCTGTGATGTCAGTTCTTGACTCAACTCTATTAGCTCGTCCTACCTGGAATAGATACTGCAGTAGATGTTTCGACAATCCATTTATCTCACTTGTAGAACGTTGAAGGTTAACCAATAAAGGCTGGCTCCGAAGTTCCTCGGGGGGCCGTCGTAGCTAGATGCTCGCCTGGAGATCCAAAAGTCGTTTGTTCATGTCCTGGCAGAGCCGAACTTTATTCAAAAATGACTTTGATGCCATGTTGACTTAGCCTTAAATGGTATAGTCAGGGAAGTAAAGGCCGCCGGCAGGATGTTGGCCAAATTACCCAGTGAGTACCAATTGAACTAGAAAATGTAGGTCTAGCCCTATATGCCCAAAGGTGTGAAAAAAGGTTCTTAACTTTTCTTAAAACAAATGTCCTCGTCTCCACAGCATAAAGCTTGGCTGTTTTGTTGAGATCATGCGTTTCACTTGCAGCAGGAACCCTCCCTTGGCCTCCATTGTTTACTCTAAATGAAAGGAAGACCAGTACGTTTCGAACAAAGCATGCTGCAGAAACTGTGGGATCATTAGATCAGTGCTTTGTCAGCTTTCTGACCCTCCCCAGGCTGAAGCTAAGAGCTTTGCCTGCCCCACCATAACCTTTCATTTTGTAGGTTGCATTTCTTCTTTCTAGGATAATTCTAGCTTTCTCCCCCGAGCACTCCTGCAAACAAAGCCGATGACACAATATGGGATGTCAGGTCTAGTATACACCGATGGGAGATTGACTAAAAACTTAATATACTATGATCTATCATATTATCCCTACATTCAACAAAACTTGCTAATAAGAAAATGATAAAGATGACAGTTCTCCATGTGGTTTTCTGGGCTATCATTTTGTTGTTGTTGTTATCGATCCAGCGGCGCATGAGCTTTCGCCCTTTGGCCCAATGCCATGTAGTGGAATTTGCATGTTTTCACAAGCTGTTCTTTTCCTCCGTACAAGGTGTTCCACTTGTCTGGTCTCGGAGAGAGTAGCGTTCTTCTTGTCTCACTGAGTTTTGGGCACTCAAAGAGATGGTGTTCAACAGTTTCGTAGGGGTAGTTACATAGCTGGCACTCTGGGGAGTGTTGTGGCTGTATTCTGTTTAGGTGTCCATTGAGTGGAGTATGTTGCGTTCTAAGTCTGAAGATGGTGGCCTGGTCCCTTCTTGTTAGATGGTTAATGCTGTCATTAGGATCAGGGCCATCATTTTATAGAAAAAAATAGACCCGCTGCGCCCTCTTCCCCTCCTTCTAACGAGCACCGTTGGAAAAGGCGACTAAGGGTTTCCTGAAATCAATTTTGGGCTAAAAGGTGCAGATGTCACAGTCTAGCTGTAAACTACAACATGACATGTCAACTGCCCTTTTAAGGCCATGTGCAAAAGAAAAGATGATGATGAATCAGTCTTGTATTGTTAGACTTAACATGTTTATAGAAATTTGGCTGTGTTTGCGTTAATGTTCTCTTGTTCTGTATATCTCAGGGAGTTTGTTCAAGCCACACATGAAAACATTGCACAGTTGTTGACCTCTGAGAATGCTGCCTCCATCTCACAGGTAAGAGCTTTCCTAAACGCTAACAGATATAGGTAACCTTATGTTGTCAGTTGCACACCAGGTCAATGCCAACAGATATAGGTAACCATATGTTGTCAGTTGCACACCAGGTCAACGGCAACAGAAATAGGTAATCTTATGTTGTCAGTTGCACACCAGGTCAATGCCAACAGATATAGGTAACCTTATGTTGTCAGTTGCACATCAGGTCAACGGCAACAGATATAGGTAACCTTATGTTGTCAGTTGTACACCAGGTCACCGCCAACAGATATATGTAACCTTATGTTGTCAGTTGCACACCAGGTCAATGCCAACAGATATAGGTAACCTTATGTTGTCAGTTGCACACCAGGTCAATGCCAACAGATATATGTAACCTTATGTTGTCAGTTGCACACCAGGTCAATGCCAACAGATATAGGTAATCTTATGTTGTCAGTTGCACACCAGGTCAGTGCCAACAGATATAGGTAACCTTATGTTGTCAGTTGCACATCAGGTCAACGGCAACAGATATAGGTAACCTTATGTTGTCAGTTGTACACCAGGTCACCGCCAACAGATATATGTAACCTTATGTTGTCAGTTGCACACCAGGGCAATGCCAACAGATATAGGTAACCTTATGTTGTCAGTTGCACACCAGGTCAATGCCAACAGATATAGGTAATCTTATGTTGTCAGTTGCACACCAGGTCAACGCCAACAGATATAGGTAACCTTATGTTGTCAGTTGCACATCAGGTCAACGGCAACAGATATAGGTAACCTTATGTTGTCAGTTGTACACCAGGTCACTGCCAACAGATATATGTAACCTTATGTTGTCAGTTGCACATCAGGTCAACGCCAACAGATACAGGGTAACTTTATGTTGTCAGTTGCACACCAGGGCAATGCCAACAGATATAGGTAACCTTATGTTGTCAGTTGCACACCAGGTTACCGCCAACAGATATAGGTAACCTTATGTTGTCAGTTGCACATCAGGTCAACGCCAACAGATACAGGGTAACTTTATGTTGTCAGTTGCACACCAGGTCAACGCCAACAGATACAGGGTAACTTTATGTTGTCAGTTGCACACCAGGTCAATGCCAACAGATATAGGTAACCTTATGTTGTCAGTAGCACACCAGGTCACCGCCAACAGATATAGGTAACCTTATGTTGTCAGTTGCACACCAGGTCAACGCCAACAGATACACGGTAACTTTATGTTGTCAGTTGCACACCAGGTCAACGCCAACAGATACAGGGTAACTTTGTGTTGTCAGTTGCACACCAGGGCAATGCCAACAGATATAGGTAACCTTATGTTGTCAGTTGCACACCAGGTCACCGCCAACAGATATAGGTAACCTTATGTTGTCAGTTGCACACCAGGTCAACGCCAACAGATACACGGTAACTTTATGTTGTCAGTTGCACACCAGGTCAACGCCAACAGATATAGGTAACCTTATGTTGTCAGTTGCACACCAGGTCACCGCCAACAGATATAGGCAACCTTATGTTGTCAGTTGCACATCAGGTCAACGCCAACAGATACAGGGTAACCTTATGTTGTCAGTTGCACACCAGGTCAATGCCAACAGATATAGGTAATCTTATGTTGTCAGTTGCACACCAGGTCACCGCCAACAGATATAGGTAACCTTATGTTGTCAGTTGCACATCAGGTCAACGCCAACAGATACAGGGTAACTTTATGTTGTCAGTTGCACACCAGGTGACCAGAATTTCTGGCAAGGGCATCAAATGTCTGCAGAAGTCTTCTTCTTCACGCTGATTAGCTGTAAACTCCAGTGGAAAGTTTTGGTTGTTCATCCACCTCTGGACTTTAGACTTGTTCCAGAACCTGAGTGTTATGTGCACATCCATTTTACAAATCTGACTTATTTCTATGCAAAATGTGTGTTCCTTGCCTCTCAGGCAGATTTGCTTTAACTTCGAAGGGAACCCCCCAATTAGTCGACTCTTGTGACATGCTTGTTGGGGAGACAGTGGGTCTATTCTTGTATTTCCCACAATGTGATCCTGTAATCCATATGGGGAGATTAAAAAACTAGGATTAATCAGCCAAAAGGTGCAAATATAAATATATCCCCGTGTGGGTTCTGGGGCCCTACTATGGGAAAAACAAGAATAGACCCACTGCCTACCCAAAAGCATGTCGTAAGAGTCGACTAATTGAGAGTTTCCTTCGAAGTCGGAGTGCATCTGCCTGAGAGGCAAGGAACCAACAGTCTGCATACAGATCTGTCAAACGGATGCACACTCAACACTCAGATTCTGGAACAGGTCTGCAGTCCAGAAGTGGACGAACAACCAGAACTTTCCGCCGGAGTTTACAGCCGGTGAACGAGAAGAAGAAGAAATATAAATATAGCAGCCATGTTGTAAATAGGCAGAACGTATTTACATTTTCAGATGATTGCAGATGAAGTAGATATACTAGGTCATTGCATAATGAGGTAGGGTGATCAGTTCTTATACTCACCAATTGTCCTTTTCAGGAACTTCCATAAAGATTATTCACTAGCAGGCTGGGTCAGACTTAGATCTAAAATTATCATCATCACCAACAGGTGCCAGGCTGAGCAACAGGGGTGAACATATACCTTCACAAACATACCGTTGGCACTGCCACAGAGTCGCCTAAATGCTAAATCCTTGGTTCAAAAATACTTACTGATTCTTAGAACCCAGAATTTGCTGACTCCATTACTCTGGAACTTACTGATTCTTAGACCCCAAAATTTGGTGACTCCATTACCCTAGAACTTACTGATTCTTAGACCCCAGAATTTGCTGACTCCATTACTCTGGAACTTACTGATTCTTAGACCCCAGAATTCGCTGACTTCATTACCCTAGAACTGATTCTTAGACCCCGGAATTTGCTGACTTCATTACCCTAGAACTTACTTATTCTTAGACCCCAGAATTTTCTGACTCCATTACCCTAGAACTTACTGATTCTTAGACCCCAGAATTTGCTGCTCCATTATCTTAGGATTTATTGATCCCTAGACCCCAGAATTTGCTCTGTAATGTATTTTTTTACCTTGGAATTTGCTGACCCCTTGACCCTAGAACTAACCCCCTCAAATTTAAATATTATTTTTAAGAATTATTTATTTTAAATGGAAGTTAAATACACATAAATGTACCTCTTGTTTTGTGATTTAATATTTGTGTATGTAGGTGTAGTTCTTATGTTTTAATGTGTGTGTGATTTTTTTATTTTTTTTAAGCAATATTATACACTTTCTGAAGTAAATAACAAGTAAAACTAAAACTTTTTAAATTCTAATGTCAAATCAGTACTATTGTATGGGGCAGAAACATGGAGAACAACCAAGGCAATTACTAATAAATTACAGACATTCATTAACTGGTGCCTGTGCAGAATAGAGGGAATTAAATGGTATGATAGAATAACTAATGTAGAACTTTGGGAGAGAACTAAACAGGCTCCAGTGGACCAAGAGGTGAGGAAAAGACGCTGGCGTTGGATAGGACACTCACTGAGAAAACAGGAGAACAGCATAACTAGAATGTCTTTACATTGGAACCCACAGGGGCGTGGGAATAAAGCAAGGCCAAAAAACACAAAAAACATGGAGAAGAGAGCTGGAGAATGAATTTAATAAGATGGGGAGGACATGAAGAGAGCTCCATGCAATGGCGAAGGATAGAACGACTTGGCGTGAGTTGGTTGAGGGCCTATGCTCCATTGGTGGATAGAAAGGCAGAAGAAGAAAGAATACACTTTCTGGAGAAAATGCACGCATATTCTTTTATCCATATAAATATGTTTACTTTTTGTTGTGATAAATGTTTGACCATCTGAATATTACAAGTATTTTAGCTACTTACAATTTTTTTTTTTAATAAAGACCAATTGTGGCGATTCTGTTTACTTAATTTTGTGTTATTCATAAAAATGATACAGCTTTTCCATTGTAAAATAGCAAGGTATCAAAACACTTTTACTTCTTTATAATAAAGATTTATTTCAAAAAATTAAAACTACAGGTTCAACAAGTTTTTGGGATGTAATGTCAAATATTAGGTTGGAGCAGATACAGAATTAAGGGTACTTAATTTATAACTTACCCCTGATGTCACGACTACGTCACGGGAGACATTCCCAATAAATTCTAGGGTTTTCAGGTTGTAGTTTCTCGCGATTTATCTACAGCCAAGTTTAGGGTTAGGGTTAGAAGACACTAGATGAACACTCAAAAACAGCACCACACAACAGCACACTTGCACCCCTTGAAATAAGGGACTGTCAGGTCAGCTGTGGATTTCCCACGGGAATTTCGTGTTTGGGGTACGTTATAAATTAAGAACCTTATTAAGATATAATTCTCGTGGTGGTGTTTGTTGTTACTGACCTTTGCCCACATAAATAATTTCTGTAGTCGACTGTTCTGTAATTTACCCTATAAGAAAGGATTTTAACAAGTTGGAACTATCTAACACTGAGTAATAAGTATAATTTATTTACCACAGGGGAGGTTACTAGAAACAGATAAGGTAATTTAGAGTTACCTAGATTGGTGTGCATTTCTTTGACTGTTGTAACTCTTTCCAGCTTACATTCTCACACATTGTGCTTTGTGTGTGTGTGTGTGTGCATGCTTTATCATTGTTTCTTAATTTGGAGATCTCCCATCAGTAACTTAAATTCTTGGTGTGGTGTGGAATTAAAATAGATTCATTAGTGTTGAGCTAACACTTGAACCCTATGACTGCTAGTAGGAATTCCTAGCTAAACTCCTTTTAGAATGTATTTACACAGGCCACTAATAGAAAACAAATTTTAAGTTTATTTATCTGCATTTTCAATTGTAATATATATTACAATTTTATTTTATATATAAAACTTTTCTCAAAAATGACCTTGACTCCCAGGTGCAGGCCTGGATAGTAAAGTCGGCCAGCGTGATGCTGACAACATCACCCATCTTGTGCTGATTGATCTATAAAATATAGGTCTAGCCCTATATGCCATGTACGCCTAAATGCCTGGAAAAGGGACATTTATTTTACTTCACTTATATGTATATATATATATATATATATATATATATATAGGTGTATTCAGTAAACAGAGTGAAGAATTGAATTGAGAATGTTCTCCAGGGCTTTAAAAAAATATATTTCAAGTGGCTCATGCCATAACCCCTTAACCTCTAGCACTGAGGCTAACAGGACAATTTTACATCAAGGTCACTGTAAAAAAAAGCCATTGAGGTCATTGGGAAACCCCCTAAATGCTATTTTTATAGTTACTATATTCTAATCCTGGCAGACACACAGAATTTAACTCCGCTTTTTGAGAACTGAAGATGTGGCGATATATCAGCATTTACAGAACTGTGTCACAACTGGAAGTTGATTTAGTCTTCTCAGGGTCAAAGGGCTTAGTTAAAAGTCGAGAGGTTCAACTCCATCGCACCAGGTGTTATCCCATAGGGCTCAGTCTCTCGCTACATAATGGCTAGGCGTATACCAGTAGTGTCACACAAAGCACTTACCCCATAGCTCCAGCAATAATCCCCAGGGCTGTATTCTTGAACTGAATGAAGCCTCTGTAGAATGAGCCAATGACCTTCAGAACGAGAGGCAAATGGCTCGACTACTTCACCATATATACCCCCCCCCCCCCCAGCCCCAAGATTAAATAGTAAATGTTTCTCAATGCAGAGATTTCTCATCAATAATGTATATCCTTGATATTGTTTAAATTGGATAAACTCTCTTAGTAGTTATTAACCCTTACAGGCTGATGAGTCAGTACATAGTCTAGTGTTGCTAAACTAGTATGGGCGCCTGGATTAGTTCTGAGGCCCTATTTTAGCGGAAAATTGAATAGACACACTTCTCCCCCCCCCCCCCCCACACACACACACAAGCACGCATGCACGCACACACACACGCACGCACGCATGTTGTTAAAGGTGCCTAATTAGGAGTTTACTAAAATGGGATTATTGGGCTAAAATATGCTGATATCACAGCCTTGCTGTCAACCACAATGCATCACACCAGTCACCATTTAAGGTCGAACACAGGAGAAGAATGTAGGCTAGTAATCATGGCTAAATACTTTGTTTCCTTTATCAACTTATTAAACTTTTTTTAATGGTTCAATTACTACAATGCAAAAAAGCAGTTTCCATGGTAAGTTTAAAAAATGTTTGCATTTTGCTTTTAAGTTTGTAAGTTGATTTCAATCCTTGTTCTTTCATTTGTGAATGCAATGGTTTTGGAGTTCTCTGGGGATCATTGCTATAGCTGTAGAGTTTGTGACAAACTGCTCTGAAGATAGAGATTGAGCTATACAGAATAAAACTCACTGTAATAAAGTTGATCCCTACACCCTTAGACACCATTTAACCCCGTTTGGGTTCCAGAACCCCATTGTAGGAAAATAAGAATAGACCCACTGCCTCCCTAACTAGGCTGTCATAAGAGTCGACTAACACTAACTAGGGGTTTCCTTCAATGCTGAAGTGCATCTGCTTGAGAAGCAAGGAACCAGCGTACAAATAAACCAGATCTGTAAAACAGATGTTTTCACTCACATAAAATAGATTGTAGTATTCCCTTATATTATTCATTCACGTGAAATAGGTTGTAGTATTAACTCATATAAAATGTAATCTATACTATTCACTCACATAAAATATTGTAGTATTCACTCATATAAAATTATGATATAATGAATGAAAAGAAGAAGAAGAAGAATTAATTCACATAAAGTAGATTGTAGTATTTACTGACATAAACTATAATTTACTATTCACTCATATAAAATAGATTGCAATATCCACTGATGTAAACTATAATATACTATTCATTCATATCTTCTTCTTCGCCTTCACCAGCTGTAAACTCTGGCAGAAAGTTCTGGTTGTTCATCCACTTTTGGAGTGCAGTCCTGTTCCAGAACCTGAGTGTTGCGTGTGTATCTGTTTCACAGATCTGACTCATCTGTATGCAGACTGCTGGTTCCTTGCCTCTCGGGCAGATGCACTCCGCCTTCAAAGGTGGCTCCAACTTAGTTGACTCTTACGACATGCTTTTGGGTAGGCAGTGGGTCTATTCTTTTTTTTCCATCCTATAATAGGGCCCCGGAAACCACAGAGGGATTGCATTCATATAAAATAGGTTGTAGCATTCACGGTCATAAACTATAATATACTGTTCATTCATATAAAATAGGCTGTAGTATTCATTTAAACTATTCACTTACATAAAATAGGTTGTGGTATTCATACACATAAAATATTAAATATCATTCACTCTCAGGGGGCCGTGTTAGCGCAGTCGCTAGAAGACTCACTTTCAAATCCAGCTGTGACTCACTGTAGCCCACGTCCGATGTTCAAAACCGGGTGGTTCACCCCGCTTCTAGGTAATGGGTACCAGAGTTAACACTCTGGGGTAAATGGAGAAACGTCGCTGTAGCTACGGAGTTGTGTGCAGATGGCAACACAGACCGACAGTTTCTTATCAGCTGTCCATACTGGTGGCAGAGCACTTATGGTTTATAACCGTGTGCAGTGACGCTGGTTCACATCTCCCGACTTTACCTTTTTTTTTAATTATTCACTCACATAAAATAGGTTGTAGTATTTGTTCACCTAAAATATTTTATACTAATCACTCACATAAAATATTATGTACTGTTGTGTCACATAAAAAATTAATGTAATAATAAATCCCCAAAGTAGTAATATTTGAAGAGACTACTGTTATTACTGCTAGATCTGCCTGTTGTAATGTATGTGTATGTGCATGATCAGTCAGTCATTCTGTTTATTTAATGTAAATCTCTTGATCTGTTATAAAGTTTAACCATTTGATGTTGTATTGGTGGAGATAATTCTAACTTGTCTTGATATTCCATGGCCTGATTTTTGGGAGAAAAAATGCGTAGACCCACTGCCAACAAGTCGTAAAAGCCGACTGATTACGGGCGTTTCCTTTGTAGTCAGAGTATGTCAGCATAAGAGGTTAGGACTAACAGTCTGCCTACTAATAAGCCAGATCTGTAAAATGGATGTTCACGCAAAACTGAGGTTCTGTAGGTAGATGAGCAACCAGGGCTTTCCACTGGAATTTCCAGCTGGTGAATATAAAAAAGAAGAATACTTAAGTCATTCTAGGAACAAAATATAACAGTGGTTCTCCATTGGTTAAGATCGGTGGTCTTTTTGTGATTTTTTTTTTAACGTCTGCAACAGACCCTATACTTTTTAATAGACTGAAGAACTTTTAGTTTATCAGTGTTTTTGTGTGTGTGTGTCTATGGTCAAAGCAGCCAGAAGAGCATGAAGCAGGACCTTATATCTCCCTTGACAGCGGTAAAAGAGGATGTAAAGAAGAAGAAGGAAAAGTTTTTTTTAAAATTTTTTTTAAATTTGTTATTCATATATAAATGATATGGACTATTAAACTGAAATGCTATAGAACATTTTTTAGAAGACTAAGAAGAAGAAGAACGCCAACATCCTACATGATCCGAACATCAAGAAGAATTGGCTCATAAACAGCATCCTGTTAAATGTCATGGTGGTCTGAAGAGAGCGGTAATGGATGTGCAGTTTCCGGTAAATGAGGTAGTTGCAAAACAAAATGCCGTGAAGGTGTAAACAAGACACTGCAGATGCATTTGTTTTAAAAGCACATAGGATTGGACAATTTGGCTAGAGAAAGAGAGCTTTCAGGTGTGCTGTGATAAAAGCCGATGGTCTGTAAAGGACATGCTGATCGATATTGATCATGTCATGGACCCCACCAAATGGGAAAAACTGTTGTAAAATAAATAGTATTAATCATAACTATAAAGGCAATAATGAAATTTGGTTTTGCTTTACAGAAAATCAAATCGGCAGAGAGATATCTGAAACGGTTAGAATGTCACCTGGCGAAAGTAAGTGGGGTTCATTTTTCATTAAAATTTGGATAGCACTGTTGCTTTTTTCAATTTAACTTTCAGAAATATCAATAAATATAATATAGTAGAGAAGGAAAGCTCCAAAAGGTGGACAGTTGACTGCTCTTCTGATCCAGCAGATTTTGCAGTATGCTTTGTTTCAAACATATTGGTGGTGGTGGCGGTGGTACTAGTGTTAGTAGCAGCAGCAGCAAAATACCCTGTTCTACCCTCAGGGTTATACTTGGTATATATAGTGTTAACTGAGTTCTCAGAGTATATATTTGTTATTTTAAATTTATATATCATGTAATATTTTATGTGACTAAAATGTAATTTGTTTGCTTTCTTCTTCTTCTTCGCGTTCACCAGCTGTAAACTCTGGCGGAAGGTTCTAGTTGCTCGTCCACTACTGAACTGCAGTCCTGCTCCAGAACCTGAGTGTTGCATGTGCATCAGTTTTACAGATCTCATTCTCTTGAATACAGGCTGTTGGTTCCTTGCCTCTCCGGCAGATGCACTCCGACTTCAAAGGAAGCTCCCCAATTAGTCGACTCTTAGGATGTGCTTTTGGGGAGGCAGTGAGTCTATTCTTGTTTTCCCCACAATGGGGCCCCGGAACCCACACAGGGGTTGTTTGCTTTGATTTGCATGTGTTGCATGTGCAACTGTTAGACAGATCTGACTGATTTTTATGCAGACTGTTGGTTCCTTGCCTCTCAGGCAAATGCATTTAGACTTTGAAGGAAGCTCCCAATTATTCGACTCTTAGGATGTGCTTTTGGGGAGGCAGTGAGTCTATTCTTGTTTTCCCCACAATGGGGCCCCGGAACCCACACAGGGGTTGTTTGCTTTGATTTGCATGTGTTGCATGTGCATCTGTTAGACAGATCTGACTGATTTTTATGCAGACTGTTGGTTCCTTGCCTCTCAGGCAAATGCATTGAGACTTTGAAGGAAGCTCCCAATTAGTCGACTCTTAGGATGTGCTTTTGGGTAGGCAGTGGGTCTATTCTTGTTTTCCCTATAAAGGGTCCCAAAACCCATACAGGGAGTTCATCTCTGTGATTGGCCCTCTCTTTCTATGTAGTAACTCCAAGTATCTGTAGGTCTTCATGTGTATTATCTCTCCACCGTCTTCTTGGACTGCCTCAATTTCTATTCCCATTCAATTTTTGTGTGAACACTGTTTTTGTCTCTCTGTAATTGTGTCATTGCCAATAATTTTGTAGGAAAAAACTTGATCTGTAAAAGGGTAAATTTGATTTTAAAAACAGCAAATTTGATCAGTGATGGGGTGGATTTGATATGCAAAGGGTTGATTTGGCATGCAAAACCTGCGTTTGCGGAGAATGATAAATTATTCTGTAAGAAGACATAATGTGTAATTTTTCTATTTGCAGATTGAAGAACTACATGACTCTTATTTGCTTAACCAGCAACTTCGAGAAGGTATGTGGTTGAATCCCATAATTTACCATATTTATAACTCAGCATCATCATCACCACCACCACGTACATTTGCCAGGCATCTTACAGAATAACCATCATCTTTACTTCCATTTAGGGATGTAAAGGCACTGAACCACAACTGAGGATGCAGCAAGCCTAGGGCTCGAACTGGTCAAACTCCTGTCCATGATCTATACCAAGTGCCTGGCTAAGATAGATAGGATCAATGTTTTATTCAAAGTTGGAGTGTGTATGCCTGAGAGGCAAGCAACCAACAATCTGCACATAGATAAGCCAGATCTGTAAAATAGATTTGCACATAACATTGTCGTGGAACAACTAGTACCACCGCCACCACCACCAATATGTTTGAAACAAAGCATACTGCAAAATCTGCCGGATCAGAAGAGCAGTCAACTGTCCACCTTTTGGAGCTTTCCTTCTCTACTACATTATATTTATTGATATTTCTGAAAGATAAATTGAAAAAAGCAACAGTGCTACCTAGACATGGACAAATAACAAGGACGTTTTACCGGAGTTTACAGCCAGTGAAAGTGTTGTGTTGTTGAGTATTGAGCAAAGATCTGGTATCACAGCGCTCGGGACTTTCCCATAAGCACTTTTTCCTCATCTTCAGCAGCTATCAAAGAGTTCCAAATTCTGACGGTGTCAGTAACTTGGTGCAACCATTATCTTGGTGCAATAGTAACATGGTGCAAAAGTATCTTGGTACAGCAGTAACTTGGTGCTGCAGTAATTTGGTGCAGCAGTAACTTGGTGCAACAGTATCTTGGTGCAGGAGTAACTTAGCACAACAGTAGCTTGGTGCAACAGTAGCTTGGTGCAACAGTATTTGGTGCAACAGTAGCTTGGTGCAGGAGTAATGTAGTGCAACAGTAACTTGGTGCAACATTGCGGTGTATTTTATGGGCAATGTTTGTTTTCTCGTTGTGCCCAAAGCATGTTGTTGACTACACTACCATGGTGGGTGGCCATTTATGTTCAGAACAGTGTGTACTTCTGCCTTTACAATGCCAGTTTCCATGACTGACCATCTGTGCCAACAGTGAGCAGCAGACATGTTACCCCCTATATGATCTGTTCTTGTGTCAATGGAAATCTCACAAAATATCCTTCACTATCCTATCTGAGACAATAGTGAAAAACCTGACAGTCCCAGCTAAATCTTGAAGCTTGCACACCCCACAAATAAAAAAAAACCCACTAGGCAGCCATCAGATGTGCCAGCACTAATGCTTCCACCCCAGAATTGCTGCTCACTGTTGTCGTAGATGGTCAATAATGGAAGCTGGCACACTGTCCGCACAACAGAAAAACAAACATTTCCCATGAAATCCACCACAGTGTTACCCCAAGCTGGGCAATGAAAACTTTAAACTTCTGGACCAGAAATAGGGAAATTTGCATTAGCAAAATCTAGCTGGAAACAAATAACTTCTTAGGGCATCGGTAGTCAGGTGGCTGTCGGTCATTCTGGCAGGAAGTCACAATGTTCATTGTAATCTTCTTCTTCTTCGCTCCACTCCCTGTTGAGCTTTCCAGCACCATATTTTGAAGAAGCATCTGATGTCCGTTTTGATGAATAGCGAGTGGATGACCTCTAATTCTGCTTTGAGTGTATCTAAATAATAAGGGCTTTCTAGACCCAGTCAGACCCATTTGACACGTTGTCACTTGATGTGCATGGAGATATCCCTGTCTCATGTACTGCAAACTGTGTCATGTACTACAACTGTGTTGAGCTGCAAACTGTGTCATGTACTACAAACTGTGTCATGTACTCTAAACTGTGTCATGTACTACAAACTGTGTCATGTGCTACAACTGTGTTGAGCTGCAAACTGTGTCATGTACTACAAACTGTGTCATGTTCTGTAAACTGTGTCATGTTCTGTAAACTGTGTCATGTTCTGTAAACTGTGTCATGTACTGTAAACTGTGTCATGTTCTACAGTGTCATGTACTGTAAACTGTGTCATGTAATGTAAACTGTGTCATGTACTGCAAACTGTGTCATGTACTACAAACTGTGTCATGTAATGTAAACTGTGTCATGTACTGCAAACTGTGTCATGTACTACAAACTGTGTCATGTACTCTAAACTGTGTCATGTACTACAAACTGTGTCATGTGCTACAACTGTGTTGAGCTGCAAACTGTGTCATGTACTACAAACTGTGTCATGTTCTGTAAACTGTGTCATGTTCTGTAAACTGTGTCATGTTCTGTAAACTGTGTCATGTACTGTAAACTGTGTCATGTTCTACAGTGTCATGTACTGTAAACTGTGTCATGTAATGTAAACTGTGTCATGTACTGCAAACTGTGTCATGTACTACAAACTGTGTCATGTAATGTAAACTGTGTCATGTACTGTTAACTGTGTCATGTACTGCAAACTGTGTCATGTACTGCAAACTGTGTCATGTACTGTAAACTGTGTCATGTATTGTAAACTGTGTCATGTATTGTAAACTGTGTCATGTATTGTAAACTGTGTCATGTATTGTAAACTGTGTCATGTACTGTTAACTGTGTCATGTACTGCAAACTGTGTCATGTACTACAAACTGTGTCATGTACTGTAAACTGTGTCATGTACTGTAAACTGTGTCATGTACTGTAAACTGTGTCATGTACTGTAAACTGTGTCATGTATTGTAAACTGTGTCATGTACTGTTAACTGTGTCATGTACTGCAAACTGTGTCATGTACTACAAACTGTGTCATGTACTGTAAACTGTGTCATGTACTGTAAACTGTGTCATGTACTGCAAACTGTGTCATGTACTGTAAACTGTGTCATGTATTTTAAACTGTGTCATGTACTGTTAACTGTGTCATGTACTGCAAACTGTGTCATGTACTACAAACTGTGTCATGTACTGTAAACTGTGTCATGTACTGTAAACTGTGTCATGTACTGTAAACTGTGTCATGTACTGTAAACTGTGTCATGTACTGTAAACTGTGTCATGTACTGTAATTTGTGTCATGTACTGTAAACTGTGTCATGCACTGTTAACTGTGTCATGTACTGCAAACTAACAGTGACTGAACTGGCCAGCTCTTTCCTGTATGGGTGAGAAGGAAAACAAATTTGTAGCCTGCTGATGACTCATAGGACACCCAAATCTACACCAAATTAAGGCAGAGCACTTTGGGAAACTGAGTCTAAAAGGGATCTGATTTTCCATTTGGGATGGGATCCATCTGGTTAAATACACCCTGAAACTTCAACAGGCATAGCAAGCTGTCAGTGGATAGAAGTTTGCACACAAAAAAAAAAAAAAAATAGAATATTGTATTACAGTGGTAAAAACATCACACATTGATTAAATGATGTGACCACACTGACACTTTGATTACATGACATCACCACACTGACACTTTGATTAAATGACATGACCACACTGACACTTTGATTACATGACCTCACCACACTGACACTTTGATTACATGAAATGACCACACTGACACTTTGATTACATGACCTCACCACACTGACACTTTGATTAAATGACATGACCACACTGACACTTTGATTACATGACCTGACCACACTGACACTTTGATTACATGACCTGACCACACTGACATTTTGATCACATGACCTGACCACACTGACACTTTGATCACATGACCTGACCACACTGACACTTTGATTACATGACCTGACTACACTGACACTTTGATTACATGACCTGACCACACTGACACTTTGATTACATGACCTGACCACACTGACACTTTGATTACATGACCTGACCACACTGACACTTTGATTACATGACCTGACTACACTGACACTTTGATTACATGACCTGACCACACTGACACTTTGATCACATGACCTGACCACACTGACACTTTGATCACATGACCTGACCACACTGACACTTTGATTACATGACATGACCACACTGACACTTTGATTACATGACCTGACCACACTGACACTTTGATTACATGACCTGACCACACTGACAGTTTGATTACATGACATGACCACACTGACACTTTGATTACATGACATGACCACACTGACACTTTGATTACATGACCTGACCACACTGACACTTTGATTACATGACATGACCACATTGACACTTTGATTACATGACCTGACCACACTGACACTTTGATTACATGACCTGACCACACTGACAGTTTGATTACATGACATGACCACACTGACACTTTGATTACATGACATGACCACACTGACCAGCTCTCTTCCCCATCATCAACACAGGAGCCGCTAACATGGCTAAAGCCTTCAGCACAACAAACTCAGACAGCCGTAAAGACTCCATTTCTAACATTAAGTATGGCTACAAAGAGTGCTCTCAGGTAACATTTTGTTCCTTTTCCTTCTCTTTGTCCTTCTGCTTCTCTTCCTTCTAATTGTCATCTTTCAGGTTTGCACCTCCCGCTTTGCTTCATTTACTGTCTACTTTAATCTCTTTGTCCCTCATTAATATATCTGCGCTTGTATTAGTTCAAGCAAGAAAACACACAGTAAGGTAACAATATATGTAAAAATATATACAAAACCATATTTAGGATGTACTCTTGTAAAATATAAAGATGTGTGCAGGCAGGACATGAATGATAGAGGAACTGAGATAGACTCAGGGGGGAAAATGTCATGCACTGGATTGTAGGGATGGGGCAAATCAGGAAAAGAATGAGAGTGAAGGAAGAAATGATTGTAGAAAGGATGAGAGCTAAACATCTGAAAAGAGACAAACTAAATACATATGATGGCCACAGCGGTTCTGAAGTCCAGTGCTTTAATTGCGGAAGACTTTTCTTAACTTGAGCAGGTCATCCCAGTTATGTTCACCATCACCATGGGTCATGAGTCCCATGCCTCCTCAATCACCACGGGTCATGACCTCCTCAATCACCACGGGTCATGAGTCCCATGCCTCCTCAATCACTATGGATCTTGAGTCCCATGCCTCCTCAATCACCACGGATCGTGAGTCCCATGCCTCCTCAATCACTATGGGTCATGAGTCCCATGCCTCCTCAATCACCATGGATCGTGAGTCCCATGCCTCCTCAATCACCATGGATCATGAGTCTCATGCCTCCTCAATCACCATGGATCATGAGTCCCATGCCTCCTCAATCACTATGGATCATGAGTCCCATGCCTCCTCAATCACCACGGGTCATGAGTCCCATGCCTCCTCAATCACTATGGATCATGAGTCCCATGCCTCCTCAATCACCACGGGTCATGAGTCTCATGCCTCCTCAATCACTATGGGTCATGAGTCCCATGCCTCCTCAATCACCATGGGTCATGAGTCTCATGCCTCCTCAATCACTATGGGTCATGAGTCCCATGCCTCCTCAATCACTATGGGTCATGAGTCCCATGCCTCCTCAATCACTATGGGTCATGAGTACCATGCCTTCTCAATCACTATGGGTCATGAGTCTCATGCCTCCTCAATCACTATGGGTCATGAGTCTCATGCCTCCTCAATCACTATGGGTCATGAGTCCCATGCCTTCTCAATCACTATGGGTCATGAGTCCCATGCCTCCTCACATCACAGTATAATATTATTGCCTGGAAAGACGGAACAGTGCCACCAACAAAAATAATTAAGGATGTATGATTTCCCCCCTCCCCCATGCAGTCATACATGTTATACCCCCCTGACTGAACTTCAGCATTGTCGCTGTCATTCTATTTTAATCCCAGAATGCTAATCTACTGCAGGTTTCTTAAGGATAAAAGCATTAAAGAAAATATGCATTTAATTACTGTTAGTTATGTTTTACCACCTTTAAAGTTTTCCTTCCCCAAAAAATGTTGCCACCCTGTGCAGCTGCACATTGTCCACATGCCATATATATATATATATATATATGTATATATATATAGGCACATTTTTATGTCATAAGCATATAACGACCGTGTGTACATTTTGTATAATACAAATAAGTAAAGTCAAGTAAACTACCCTTTCCACGCCTTCAAGTATATATGGGCATATAGGGCTAGACCTACATTTGATAGACTACTTGACACTCGATGGGAGATGAGGACAACATCACGTCAGCCACCTTTACTCCCTAGGATTTTACCTGGTACCCACTTAAGGAACCAAGGTCAGTTTTGAAAAGAAACCAAAAAAACACCCCAGCTTCATCAGGATCTGAATCCACGACCTTCGGATCCACAGGCGAGCATCTAGCCGCTACGCCGTGGCAGCTGGTGAGGGTGATGAGGTCAGCAATATTTATTTGGGTACCAATTTTATGCCGGGTCAGTTAGGGATTCTAGGTCGTCTATAAATAACTCACCCTGGTATAGATTTCAACCCCTGACTTATATAAATGTTAGTGAAAGGATTTCACAGATGATTATTTTGTTGTACATACAACATTCATTGTATACATGTTACTTGACTGGTCTTTGCTTCGCAGACTATGTGTGCCATCGAGGTCCAGCTAGAGAGTTTTTTGGGAACTTTCAGTTGTAGTCTTAACGGTGAGTCCATTGAAGTTTGGTGTGTGTAAATGGTCAGTCAGTTGATGTTTGGTGTATGTAAATGGTTAGTCAGTTGATGTTTGGTGTGTGCAAATGGTCAGCCAGTTGATGTTTAGTGTGTGTAAATGGTCAGCCAGTTGATGTTTAGTGTGTTTAAATGGTCAGTCAGTTGATGTTTAGTGTGTGTAAATGGTCAGTCATTTGATGTTTAGTGTGTATAAATGGTCAGTCAGTTGATGTTTGGTGTGTGTAAATGGTCAGTCATTTGATGTTTATGTGTGTAAATGGTTAGTCAGTTGATGTTTGCTGTGTATAAATGGTCAGTCAGTTGATGTTTGCTGTGTGTAAATGGTCAGTCACCTAATATTTGTGTGTGTAAATGGTCAGTCAGTTGATGTTTTAGCATGTGTAAATGGACAGTCTGTTGATGTTTTAGCATGTGTAAATGGTCAGCCATTTGATGTTTTAGTATGTGTAAATGGACAGTCAGCTGATGTTTTAGCATGTGTAAATGGTCAGTCAGTTGATGTTTTAGCATGTGTAAATGGTCAGTCAGTTGATGTTTTAGCATTTTTAAATGGACAGTCAGTTGGTGTTTTAGCATGTGTAAATGGTCAGTCAGCTGATGTTTTAGCATGTGTAAAATGTCAGTCAGTTGATGTTTTAGCATGTGTAAATGGACTGTCAGTTGATGTTTTAGCATGTGTAAATGGTCAGTCAGTTGATGCTTGTGTGTGTAAATGGTCAGTCATTTGATGTTTGTGTGTGTTAATTGTCAGTCAGGTAATGTTTGTGTGTGTAAATGGTCAGTCAGTTGATGTTTTAGTGTGTGTAAATGGTCAGTCAGTTGATGTTTTAGTGTGTGTAAATGGTCAGTCAGTTGGTTTTAGCATGTGTAAATGGTCAGTCAGTTGATGTTTTAGTGTGTGTAAATGGTCAGTCAGTTGATGTTTATGTGTGTAAATGGTCAGTCAGTTGATGTTTATGTGTGTAAATGGTCAGTCAGTGAGTGTGTGTGTGTAAATGGTCAGTCAGTTAATGTTTTAGTGTATGTAAATGGTCAGTCGATTGATGTTTGCGTGTGTGTGTGTGTATGCAAATGACCATTCTGTTGGTATTGTACCTTTGAACCCACTACAAACTTAAGCTGCAACATAAGGGTGATTGGCACATTGTGTTGTGGTTTACAGCTAGGCTGTGGATCGTCTGAATTCACTGCACCCCTAAATAGTTGCCTTTTACGGCATGCTTGTGAGGGGGACAGTGCATACAGTTCCCCCCCCCCCCCCCAAGGGGCCTAGAACCCACACAGGGATATGCAAAATCTAACCATTATGAACAAATCGACAAGGGTACTAGCATTAGTTAATTGAGGGTCTATGCTCCATTGGAAGGTAACAAAATCAGAAGAGGTACTTGTGTATTTATCGTATTGGTAATGACAAACTGGCAACACTTCCTCGTGTCAATTTTCAGGAATCGCTGGTTACGCAAGGGTTGTCCCCGGTGATGTTTTTGAAGTGCTGATCAAACATGGTGATCAAAAATGGAAGACGAAAGGAAGAATTGAGAAAGATAGCAGCCAACGATGGGACTCTCCCAGTCATACTTTCAAGTGTCTTGTTGGAGACCTGCTTAGCATCAAGGTAAGTCTCCTTTGTGAGTTTTGTTTCTTTTCCTTTTTTGCAGGGATCTGTGTTTTCAGGTTCACCCAAACTTAAAATGGATGTTTGAAAGTGTTCTGTGAGTAAAGATGGCTTGACATGATTTTAGGCAAATCACATCAGTTGGCCTATAAAAAAATTAAAAAAAAAATGTTTAGCAACATATTGCATGTGTATCAGTGTGTTAGCTATTAACCATCACAAATTTTCCACTTTTTCCACTTGGCTTTATGGGGAGGAACTGTTTGCAATCCATTGTTCTATGGTAGCATTGTGTATCATGTCTTGGTAGCTGTTATGGCAACATTTTAAGGAGATGACTAAACTATAATATGATCTCCATCTCCTCAATAAATTTGGTGCCAGGTGTTTCCCACAATCTGCCTGACAGTATCATCTTTCACTTGCTCTTGGATTCAATTGGCTTTCCTCAAACATCTCATCTTAACCTGTATCTTTGTAGGGCTCATAAAAATGAAAGCGCTCTCAAATTGGCCAGAAAAAGTGTCAAGGACATGCTAAAGGCGTCATTTAAAGATTTTAATATAGACCCGGACACTTGGGAAGCTGCTGCACAAGGCTGGACTATATAGCGAATGTCTACCCAAAGAGGTGCAGTCACCTGCGAGGCATTTAGAAAAAGCGAAGACAGGCTAGAAAAACCTGTATCGCAAGCAGTTTCCTGCCCTTACTGTCGTAGAACCTTCCTAGCCCATATTGGTCTTATAAGTCACCTTCAGTCAAACAATCAGCTATAGTTTCATGACAGATTAAAAAAGAGGGGAGAGGAAATGGGGGGAAACTGCATATGATAGTGAACTACAGAGCATCTTAGTGTGAGCTGGTCGAGGGCCTTTGTTCTTTTTAGGGTTAAAGGACAAAAGAAGAAGAAAAGAAGAAGACTGGGTTAGAAGAATCGTCAATGAGACAATATCACTCTGTATATGCAAACTGTTTTCAGGGCTCTCGCAACCTACACGACATTTCCTCAGATCTTATGAGACAGAGGAATTACCCCAGTAAAATTCCTTTAAAATAGGAATCTATTTGAGAGGTGAGGAACCAACAGTTTGCATTTGGATAAGTCAGATCTGTAAAATGGGTGTGCATGCAGTACTCAGGTTCTGAAACAAGTCTAAAGTCCAGAGGTGGTTGAACAACCAGAACTTTCTTGACACAGTTTACAGCAGGTGAACGCGGAGAAAAACAAGAAGACAACCAGCCAGCAAATCATCCAACCAGTTAACTAGCCAACCACTTGAAGTGGCATGCCTTATGTCTGGTTGCACTCCTTTGCAGGTGTCTGAGATGAAAGTGTTCAAGTCCGTGGTGCTGGGTCAGAAGAGCTGTGAGATCTGGAACCCATGTATGAACGACACGGCCAGCCAGGGCCTCTTCTGTGCCAGTCCCCAGCTGATGACAGTCAACATTAATGTCCAAGGATCTCTCAAGCTCAGCATTGTCATCACTTGGAAGTAGGTGTCATTATACTGGTCAGTGCCATTATACTGGTCAGGGTCATTATACTGGTCAGGGTCATTATACTGGTCAGGGTCATTATACTGGTCAGGGTCATTATACTGGCCAGTGCCATTATACTGGTCAGGGTCATTATACTGGTCAGTGCCATTATACTGGTCAGTGTCATTATACTGGTCAGTGTCATTATACTGGCCAGTGCCATTATACTGGTCAATGTTATTATACTAGTCAGTGTTATTATACTGGTCAGTGTCATTATACTGTTCAGTGTCATTATACTGTTCAGTGTCATTATACTGGTCAGTGCCATTATACTGGTTAGTGTCATTATACTGGTCAGTGTCATTATACTGGCCAGTGCCATTATACTGGTCAGGGTCATTATACTGGTCAGGGTCATTATACTGGTCAGGGTCATTATACTGGTCAGGGTCATTATACTGGTCAGTGTCATTATACTGGTCAGTGTCATTATACTGGTCAGTGTCATTATACTGGTCAGGGTCATTATACTGGTCAGGGTCATTATACTGGTCAGGGTCATTATACTGGTCAGGGTCATTATACTGGTCAGGGTCATTATACTGGTCAGGGTCATTATACTGGTCAGGGTCATTATACTGGCCAGTGCCATTATACTGGCCAGTGCCATTATACTGGCCAGTGCCATTATACTGGCCAGTGCCATTATACTGGCCAGTGCCATTATACTGGCCAGTGCCATTATACTGGTCAGTGCCATTATACTGGTCAGTGCCATTATACTGGTCAGGGCCATTATACTGGTCAGGGCCATTATACTGGTCAGGGCCATTATACTGGTCAGGGTCATTATACTGGTCAGGGTCATTATACTGGTCAGGGTCATTATACTGGTCAGGGTCATTATACTGGTCAGGGTCATTATACTGGCCAGGGTCATTATACTGGTCAGGGTCATTATACTGGTCAGGGTCATTATACTGGTCAGGGTCATTATACTGGCCAGGGTCATTATACTGGCCAGGGTCATTATACTGGCCAGGGTCATTATACTGGCCAGGGTCATTATACTGGTCAGGGTCATTATACTGGTCAGGGTCATTATACTGGTCAGGGTCATTATACAGGGAACTTTAAATACTTGCATACAGCACTATATTTCTGTGAGCTCATACAACTATATATTTCTCATTTCATTATACAACTATATGTCTCATAATCTCATAAAACATTTTTTCCTCATGACATTATACAGATTTGTATTTCTCATGACATTATATTCTGTCTCCTACCTGATACTTTTTTTTTCACACTAAATCATGCAGATCGATATTTCTGTTCATAACATTTAACAACATAAATGAACAGACAAAGCAAAACTTTTGTTTTTTGTTCATCAGTCCTTTAGATGACGTGGATGAATCCATTAAATATATCCAGTCCCCTTTGCGCACCGCAGGCCTGGCACTCGGAAAACGGCCTGTATCCATGGTTTCTTTGACGGAAAGTTTGGTGGTAAGTGTTTGCAGTTTTTCATGTTTATTGATATGCAGTTGTTTTTCTCTTTAAATTAGTACTTTCCCCTTGGATTCAAGTTTGTAGACTAGCGGTTCCCAGTTAGCTAAGATTTGTTGTCCCATTTAATTTTCAAAGCTCTGCCATTAACTCTGTGCTTTTTAACCCCATGACCCACAAGAAAAGCTGGGTTTTTTTTCTACTTTCACAGGTTTTTTATGAAGATGTTATTTCTTTGCTTCATGCATATTTAATGTTACTTGCCATCATATTAGTGACTGGAGAGGGTGGGGGTGGGGGGGGGGGGTGCAATGTCACAGTAGCTGGCATGCTTGCCTGTCTGCTCAGTGTTCATAGGTTCCAATCCTCCCCCTCCCCCCCCCCCCCAAACTGACTAAGACTTCAATTTTCTTCTGCTCTTCAGTGTGTTTCCTGTGAACTTTTTAGAATGACCAATTAATGAGTATAGTTGCTAAAAATAGCGTTTAGGTGGGGGTTTCCTTGTGGGAAAATAGCTTTATTTTTAGAAATGTGGACATCACAATTTCCTCTTAGTTATGGTAAATGTATAGTAAATGGTGGCCTGGTCACTGGGTAAAAAAATGGATTACCCTAAACATTTTTTTTAAACTTCAGAGAGATGTATCCCAGTCAATTCTCTGCCCCATTTGTGTTTATTTTTTCCTCCCGTTATTTTCTATGCAGTCAGATATTGTTTTGATCTATAAATGGAATTAGGATTAATTGTGAGACCTGTATAAAATATATTTTTGTTTCTAGTTTTTTTTTTTTTTCAGAACACTCAAATTGCCCAAAAATAGCTTTGTCTATTCTAGTCACCAGGAAAAAGGGTTAAATTTGTTCCTAAGACCCCAGGGATCAAACTAAATGGGAAGAAATGGTGTACGCCAACCCCGCTTTGAAAGACATCAATTATTTTCACTACTGAAGTGACCTAACAGTATTCTGTGTGCTTGGAGAGTTAGCACTCAGTCTATCATTATGGTCTAAGGAGAATGGCGATGCAAGGAGTTAACGGGGATCTGACTGACGCTCAACACTCACAGGAAGGATGAGACGGATATACAATCAGATATTTACTGGTACCATCAGAATTGGAACTCTTTTGCTTGCTGCTGAAGATGGGGACTGAGCACTTATGAGAGAGTTCTGAGTGCTATGATGATGTCGATTCCTAATTCAACATTCAGCACTCAGTCTCTTACAGGATTCACAGCCATTTTGTGTGTGATTTGGGGAAAGAGGGGGGGGGGGGGGGGGGGGATTGTCCTCAGTGCTGCATGCTCCACCTTCCTTATCCAAGGGGGTTAAATGACACATACACACCCCTCCCACCTCTTGTCTTGTAAAGACATTCTCTTTTTAAGCATGTGTTTATAGATTTTATGTTAATTCCAAAATATTATTATATTTATTTGACATTCAGTAATGATTATTATTATTATGCACTTACACATGGCGTAAGAAAGTTAGAAGACACTAAGCCTCCCCCTCCCCCACAGATGTCTGTGGCTGTGCCCCTGCCCTTAATTCTTTCAGTCACAAACAATGCACAGCGTGTGACTGCCTTTGTCCTATGTATTCCAACCATTATGTAATGTGGTCTCAAATGTTTTACATCTGGTCTAACAATTCTAATGGCATCTGGCTTCTCCAGATGTCACATTCTGTATATACTGTTTAACATCTTTTAAAGTTATGCACCTCTTGGGCATCTATGAAACATTCAGAGATTCGAAGTCAGAGTGCATCTGCCCGAATGGCAAGGAACAACCAACTGCACACAAAAAAGCCAGTAAAACGGATGTACATGCAAAAATAAGGCCCTGGCACAAAGCCAAAGTCCAAATAGACGAACAGCCACAACTTTCTGGTGGAGCTTACAGCCAGCGAACAAAGAAGAAGATGTTGCAAAAGATGACTAATTAGACGTTTGCTGAAATACGATTTAATGGACCAAAATGTGAAGATATCTGCAGCCTAGCTGTAAACTACAACACAAAATGCCAACCACTCTTTTAAGAGTAAACACACAAGATGTAGAAACAGTGTCAACATTGGGATTTTCTTGACCATTTTGTCTTTTTGTATATTTCCCCACCCAGTCCAGCAGAAGCTGCAGCTCATTAGCCCGGCACGATAGAAGATTTCCACACCCACTTCAAGACTTCAAACATCGAGATGACAGCGGCATCTATGGCTCTGCCACATCTCTCCCAAGTCACCTGACCGCAGACTCCGTGCATGCTCCCCACATCCTTTCAGCATCCCCTCTCATTCGGGGCCATGACCCCTCTCGGAGGCCAGACATGTACACCAACCGTCTAGGACCGTACAGTGTTAGCACTTTTGATATGAGACAGGTGGGATCTCGGCACTTTGAGCCTGTGTCACCCACTTCTGAGTTTTCAGACATGTCAGGTGCTAGCCTGTCAAAGGTAAATAATATTTTTTAAATGCAGTGTAATTTACCCCATTTGCACACCAGTGCAGTTTATTCCTCTTCTTCTTTTCATACTGGTCCTTCTCTCATACTTGACTTCATCTAATACTTATCTTTCTTTCATACTTGGTATTTTATAATACTTATCCATCTCTCATACTTAGCCTTCTCTCATACTTGCCAATCTCTCATACTTGTCCCTCTCTCATACTTGCCTTTCTGTGACACATGTCTGTCTCTTATACTTGCCTTTCTGTGACACATGTCTGTCTCTCATACTTGCCTTTCTGTGACACATGTCTGTCTCTCATACTTGCCCTTCTGTGACACTTGTTCTTCTCTCATACTTGCCCCTCTGTGACACTTGTTCTTCTCTCATACTTGCCTTTCTGTGACACTTCTCCTTCTCTCATACTTGCCTTTCTGTGACACTTCTCCTTCTCTCATACTTGCCTTTCTGTGACACTTCTCCTTCTCTCATACTTGCCTTTTTGTGACACATGTCTGTCTCTCATACTTGCCCCTCTGTGACACTTGTTATTCTCTCATACTTGCCCGTCTGTGACACTTGTTCTTCTCTCATACTTGCCTTTCTGTGACACTTCTCCTTCTCTCATACTTGCCTTTCTGTGACACTTCTCCTTCTCTCATACTCATACTTCTTATACTTCTCTTATACTTGTTCTTCTCTCATACTTACTGTTCTCTGACACTTACCCTGCTCTCATACATGTTTTGTTACAGGTCACCTCTATTCTCAACTTCTAAATTAGAGGAAACTATTCTCCACTTCTGTTCTCTACTTTTTTTTTTCTTACAGGCCACTTCTAATCTCCACTTAAATATTACATGCCACTTCTAATCTCTACTTTTGTATTAGATGCCACTTCTATTCTCTGTTTTTGTTTTAGATGCCACTTCTATTTTCTACTTTTGTATTAGAGGCCTCTTCTATTCTCCACTTCTGTATTACAGGCCACTTCTATTGACCACTTCTGTATTACAGGTCTCTTCTATTCTCCACTTTTGTATTACAGGCCACTTCTATTCTCCACTTCTGTATTACAGGCCACTTCTATTCTCCACTTCTGTATTACAGGTCTCTTCTATTCGCCACTTCTGTATTACAGGTCTCTTCTATTCGCCACTTCTGTATTACAGGCCACTTCTGTATTACAGGCCACTTCTATTCTCTACTTCTGTGTAACAGGTCTCTTCTATTCTCCACTTTTGTATTACAGGCCACTTCTATTCTCCACTTCTGTGTTACAGGCCACTTCTATTCTCCACTCCTATATTACAGGCCACTTCTATTCTCCACTCCTATATTACAGGCCACTTCTATTCTCCACTCCTATATTACAGGCCACTTCTATTCTCCACTCCTATATTACAGGCCACTTCTATTCTCCACTCCTATATTACAGGCCACTTCTGTATTACAGGCCACTTCTATTCTCCACTCCTATATTACAGGCCACTTCAAATCTCCACTTCTCTTTACAGGCCACTTCTATTCTCTATTTCTCTTTACAGACCACTTCTATTCTCCACTCCTATATTACAGGCCACTTCTATATTACAGGCCACTTCAAATCTCCACTTCTCTTTACAGGCCACTTCTATTCTCTATTTCTCTTTACATGCCACTTCTATATTACAGGCCAATTTTATTCTCCACTTCTGTATTACAGGCCACTTCTATGTTGCAGGCCACTTCTAATCTGCACTTCTTTATTACAGGCCAGTTCTATTCTCTACTTCTGTATTACAGGCCACTTATATTGTCCACTTCTTTATTACAGGCCACTTCTATTCTCCACTTTTATGCTACAGGCCACTTCTATTCTCCACTTTTATGCTACAGGCCACTTCTATTCTCTACTTTTATACTACAGGCCACTTCTATTCTCCACTTTTATGCTACAGGCCACTTCTATTCTCCACTTCTGTATTACAGGCCACTTCTATTCTCCACTTTTATGCTACAGGCCACTTCTATTCTCCACTTTTATGCTACAGGCCACTTCTATTCTCCACTTTTATGCTACAGGCCACTTCGATTCTCCACTTTTATACTACAGGCCACTTCTATTCTCCACTTCTATACTACAGGCCACTTCCATGCCATCAATTATCCAAGAGGTGACACAGACCATGGTTCCAGGTTTGATGGTAAGACAGATGACGCAACAAGACAACATCAACACAGTTGAGGAGGCATTACACAGCCTAAAGACCACATTGGAGGACTTTCTGGGGCACTACCCGGAGCTGCAGAAGTTGGAGGATGAGGTACAGGTGATTGAGGCCCTGGTTAAGGTGGGTTTTTGTCATGTAATACATTTGATGTGGTGGTGCCCAAATGAGTTTTAAGAGTGGTGGTGTCCAAATAGCTTTTTTAGAGTGCTAGTTTCCAAATGAGTCCTAGGAGTGGTGGTGTCCAAATAGCTTTTTTAGAGTGCTAGTTTCCAAATGAGTCCTAGGAGTGGTGGTGTCCAAATAGCTTTTTTAGAGTGCTAGTTTCCAAATGAGTCCTAGGAGTGGTGGTGTCCAAATAGCTTTTTTAGAGTGCTAGTTTCCAAATGAGTCCTAGGAGTGGTGGTGTCCAAATAGCTTTTTTAGAGTGCTAGTTTCCAAATGAGTCCTAGGAGTGGTGGTGTCCAAATAGCTTTTTTAGAGTGCTAGTTTCCAAATGAGTCCTAGGAGTGGTGGTGTCCAAATGGTCTTTAAGGCAACAGTGTTAAAATAGTACTTTTGGTTGGTGGTACTGAAATGAGTCTTTGAAATCGTAGTGTTAAAATAGATCTTTGGAGTGGTAGTACTCAATTTAGTCTTTTAAGTGGTAAAATAGATCTTTGGAGTGGTAGAACTCAATTTAGTCTTTCGAGTAGTAAAATAGATCTTTGGAGTGGTAGAACTCAATTTAGTCTTTCGAGTGGTAAAATAGATCTTTGGAGTGGTAGAACTCAATTTAGTCTTTTAAGTGTTAAAATAGATCTTTGGAGTGGTAGTACTCAATTTAGTCTTTCGAGTGTTAAAATAGATCTTTGGAGTGGTAGTACTCAATTTAGTCTTTTAAGTGGTAAAAACCAAACAGGTCTTTGGAGTGGTAGTACTCAATTTAGTCTTTTCAGTGGTAAAATAGATCTTTGGAGTGGTAGTACTCAATTTAGTCTTTTGAGTGGTAAAAACCAAACAGGTCTTTGGAGTGGTAGTACTCAATTTAGTCTTTGGAGTGGTAGTACTCAATTTAGTCTTTCGAGTGTTAAAATAGATCTTTGGAGTGGTAGTACTCAATTTAGTCTTTTAAGTGGTAAAAACCAAACAGGTCTTTGGAGTGGTAGTATTCAGTTTAGTCTTTTAAGTGGTAAAATAGATCTTTGGAGTGGTAGTGCTTAATTTAGTCTTTCGAGTGTTAAAATAGATCTTTGGAGTGGTAGTACTGAATTTAGTCTTTCGAGTGGTAAAAACCAAACAGGTCTTTTGAGTGGTTTTAACCAAATGAGTGTTTGGAGTGGAAGTGCCCAAATGGATTTTTGCACTGGTAGTACCTAAATAGATCTTTGCAGTAGAAGAGTAAATGGATCTTTACATTGATGGTACAGATCCGGTTTGTGTCAAGATGGTGGGACGTGTTTCTCTCTAGCTTGGTGCATATCGGTTGATCGACGGTCCGACAAGCTGTCATCGCAAACCACCAATTGTTGTAGAATCAGATTTCTGGAAATTTCAAATGGTCAGATTTCCGAACCAATACACAAATAAGGCAAGAGTATGTGTCTAATTTTATACGAAAACGCCGCTGGAACTATGTCGGCCACGCCCTTAGAATGGATAAATCAAGACTTCCTTACCAAGCCCTCATTTCGACAACACAGGGGAAAAGATCTCGTGGAAGACCAAGGGAAACCCTACGTAGAACTATTATCAGGGAAGGCTCGCTCGTGGGCCACTCAAACATCCAAGACCTACAACAGATTGCAACGAACCACCATGCATGGAGAGTCATGACCTCTGCCCTATGTGCCGCACTCGACACGTATGGTTTCAAAATTATTTCTGAAGTTTCTGCGTGGGTCTTTTTGGTGATAGTGTTTAAAATGGGTGTTTGGAGTGGAAGTGTCTAAATTCTTCCTAAATAATTCATTCCCATTTGGAATTAAATTCTTTTGGAACATTTCACGTCTGGTAGATTTTCAGTTTAAATTCTGAATGTGTGCACATTTTTAATTTCTTTGTGAACATTTAATCTAATTTCTTTGTAAACATTTCACCTAATTTCTTTGTGAACATTTCATCTAATTTCTTTGTGAACATTTTATCTAATTTCTTTTGTAAACATTTCACCTAATTTCTTTGTGAATATTTCATCTAATTTCCTTGTGAATGAGTCACATCGGGTTGGTTTAAAGTCCACCCTTGTTTGTTTATTTTCCAGAAATCAGATCGTTCTAGATCATCAAGTGTCAATGCATCGATAGAGGGCGCTATAGAGGAGGCATTTGAGTTCCTCAATTTGGAAGGAATTTTGGAAGATCTGGAAGAGGAGGATGAAAGTGAAGACAGCGAGGACAAACAAATGTAGGTGCCACATTTAAGGCTTGTAAGGTCAAGGACCTGTTTCACAACAGAGGAAATATTGGACATATGATGCTCCGACTCATATTTTTGTAGACCAGTCAGCACTCGGTGGGTGTTGTGGTAAACATCGTGCTAGCCCCCTTTACTTCCCAGGACTTTACCTGTACCCATTTTAGGCTAGATCAACATGGGAGCCCAAATCATTGAAAAAAAGAAATTCTACCCGAAGCTGGTTCAAACTCATGACCTTCGAGCCCGTAGTTGCGCATCTAGCCACTGTGCCACAATGATTCCCTCTATGTTTGTATTCATTCTGTGTTTGCTTACATGTGAGCATATTTCTCCTTCCTCGGGTTCACTGACTGTAAACTCCGGCTGAAAGTTCTGGTTGTTTGTCCACGTAGGGACTTTAGTGTTGTTCCAGAACCTGAGTATTGTATGCAAATCCATTTAACAGATCTGACTTAATTGTATGCAGATTGTTGGTTCCTTGCCTCTCAAGCAGATGCACTCCGACCTAGAAGGAAACCCCCAGTTAGTCGACTCCTGCGACATGCTTGTTCTGGAGGCAGGGGGTCTGTTCTTGTTTTCCCCACAATGGCACCCTGGAACCCACATTGGGAGAGCATATACCAGGGACAAACATTTAGCAGCACGTACAGTAATACATGCATTTGTTTATTTATTTAACTCTACTAAGTAACTCACAATATGTTCATTGGTTACACTAAATAAGGTGCATATTCATTTACTTATCCTAGCCCATTCTTTTGTTATGTTAACCCCTTACTGTCCACTGTTAGTATAACACTTTCTCTGCCAGTGTTGTATTTTTCAGCTCTATGGGACCAAACAATTGTGGCTTTAGGATACACAAAAGTTTAGCATGGACATTGATGAATTCAACACAGTCGGGGATCAAGAGTTAAGAATGCCGTTGATTGAAACAGTTTTGTGAATAATTGGGGGACCACTACACACACACATGTGTGTGTGTATGACTCAATGAAGTTAACAGAAGACTGGTTACTTCATAACAACAAACCACTCTCTTAGCTTTCTGGCAGTGGAATAAGAGTCACACCATGGAAGAGATTGGGGCCTCGCCATGTCATGTCTCTAAAGACAGCAGCAGGTCCACAGTACCCAACCTTCACTGTGGAGACAGCACAGAATGTTTAATGTCTAAGGTTTCTTCAGGCTGTAGAAAACATTAAAAGCCATCCTATCATGAGCATGTCTGCACTGAGTTTTGTGTGAGCTGTGTGTGCTCCTATGCTCCGTTGGGAGATGATGTCAGAAAAAAATGGAATATTACCAAAGCTGCAAGTTACCCAGAAGAGAAGCCGTGGATGTAAATGTTATTGATCATGAGAACAAGGGACTCCCAACAAGTTGAAATCTGTTCTCTGGTCAGTTAATCACAGTTGCAGTTTCATGGCACACGGGTCATCCCATAGTTGTTCCGTTCCTGTGCCAGCGAAAACTGCACAGAATGTTTTTCACTGTCCATTGTGGGAAAAAACTGGAAAAGACTGTAAGACTGTAGTTTTGCTGAAGCCAGTAGTATACACACACATTAAATGCATAAGGCAACCATATGAAGTGCCAATGCAAACATTCAACCAGAAGAATTGTTCATTCTCAACTGAAATAGCAGTTACAAAAATACTGTTCTCTAACATTTACAGATAAAATCACTTATGTTATCTCTTGCTTCTATATTGTCCTGGAATGACAAAATCAGTTATAATGTTATCCTTTGCTTCTGTATTGTTCAAGAAAGATAAAATCAATTATAATGTTAAACCTTGCTGCAGTATTGTCCAGGGAAGATACAATCAGTTATAATGTTATCCTTTGCTTCTCTATTGTCTACAGAAGATAAAATCAGTCAACTTATTCCTTGCTTCTGCATTGTCTAGGAATGATAAAAGAGTTATAATGTTATCCCTTGCTTCTGTTTTGTCCACAGAAAATAAAACTCGTTATAATGTTATCCTTTGCTTCTCTATTGTCTACAGAAGATAAAATCAGTCAACTTATTCCTTGCTTCTGCATTGTCTAGGAATGATAAAAGAGTTATAATGTTATCCCTTGCATCTGTATTGTCCACAGAAGGTAAAACTCGTTATAATGTTATCCCTTGCATCTGTATTGTCCACAGAAGGTAAAACTCATTATAATGTTATCCCTTGCATCTGTTTTGTCCACAGAAGGTAAAACTCATTATAATGTTATCCCTTGCATCTGTTTTGTCCACAGAAAATAAAACTCATTATAATGTTATCCCTTGCATCTGTATTGTCCACAGAAGGTAAAACTCGTTATAATGTTATCCCTTGCATCTGTTTTGTCCACAGAAGGTAAAACTCATTATAATGTTATCCCTTGCATCTGTTTTGTCCACAGAAGATAAAACTCGTTATAATGTTATCCCTTGCTTCTGTATTGTCCACAGAAGATAAAACTCGTTATAATGTTATCCCTTGCATCTGTATTGTCCACAGAAAATAAAACTCGTTATAATGTTATCCCTTGCTTCTGTTTTGTCCAGGGAAGATAAAAGATCAGACACCAATCAAACAATTGATAGTCCCAGTTCTGATGCGACCACAGTAGATTCAGGAATAGGATCCTTGGCCAAACGGCTGCAACAGGACATAACTCGAGGCTCTAGTATGAGTTCCAGTCCTGTCCCATCGTCTAGTGGGAACGAGCAAGTTGATCAGGCTCTTGTGTTTCACCTGACTGTGTGTGATAAACTGTTACAGGTGAGTGAATCTTTTATGTTCAGATTATCTTTATCCTCTTTAAGATGCTTTTATGATTGCCAGGTATCTATATTTACTTTCTGGGAAGATTAATCTGGGCAACATATGGCTGCAGAAGTTGGACGTGTCAGCTGAAAGGTGCAAATATTGCAGCAATGCTGTAGATTTGCACAACACATTTACATCCTCTGATCAATGCAGAAGATAAATATTCTTCTTTTTCGCGCGTTCGCCGGCTGTAAACTCTGGTTAAAATGGACGCTAGACAGCGGCGCCGTTCGGAACAGAGGCAATTTTTTTGCTTCTGCCGGACGGTGGCCGATGCATTTTTGCTCCATTTGTAGACTGGATATAGTTTCGTCGCCCAGCTTCTGAGTTGAATGCATGGCGTGACCCTGTGAGCTGCGGATTGCATTTGGAATGGTTTTTTTTTTTTTTTTTCGACTGTGACCAACGTGGTGGTGTGAATTATGGATTCAGAAAATGGCGCGATGCCTGTCGTTCAATGCTGGCAGGACCCGTATTAAAATTGATCACGCAGACAACTGCTGATCTGTTGACGACAGGTTCTGCTATCATCAATGATGAACTGCATTTCGAATGTTGGACTGTCTGTGTTAGCACTTCGGATGGCTACCATATGCTTTAATGCGAGTGTATGCTAGATATGCTGAGACAGCATTCTGTCAATCTTTCCACAAGGGAACGGACATTCTGAGTGTTTTTCGCTGGCACAGGAGCGTAGCAAAGATGGGGCGACCCGTTTGCTATGAAGCTGAAACTAAGACTACCAGACTACCAGTCTGGTGGATATTTATGGTTGTTCATCCATTTCTGGACTTTTAGCCTTTTTCCAGAACCTGAGTGTTGTGTGTGCATCCATTTTACAGACATAACTCATTTGCATGCAGCTGTTGGTTCCACGCCTCCCAGGCAGGTGCACTCCGACTTCAAAGGAAACTCTCAATTAGTTGACTCTTATGACATGCTTTTGGGTAGGCAGTGGATCTGTTCTTGTTTTCCCTACAATAGGGCCCTAGAACTCACACGGGGGAGATGAATATTCAGCATTCTTTATCCTCTTTAAGATGTTATTTTAATTACCGTGGCATTTTGTTTGTGGAGATAAGTGACGAAGGGTTCAGTTTCTGGAAAGTGAGTTAGATGCAAATCTCCAGAAAGGTGGATACAAGACATTGAAGATGTGTCAGCTGTGATAGCACATAAGGCTGGATAATTGACTGGAGGGAGATCAATTTTCAGGCATGCCGTGATGAGAGTGACATTCTCTAAAGGACATGTTGATTGATGATGATGTTATTTGTTTAAATTGATGCAATTTTACCAACTGCCACAGAGAGCCACACTGAAAATATATAATGAACATAGAGCAAGGGGTAGACCAGGAAAGATATGGAGCGACACTATCAGCAGCAACCTAACAGAAATGAACACCAACTTGTACAATGCATTGGAAAAAGCGTACAAACGATCCTTACATCTTCCCCCCAACACCTCGCTGAGGTAAATGGTGGAAGAGAAGAAGAAGAAGAAGAAGAATTTTTAAAGTATTGTGTTCTATAACAACAAGATCACAACATAAGAAGACATTGATAACACCAGTTGTGCTATATGGAGTACAACTAAAAAGGATAAAGCTTTATTGTAAACATTTGAGAGTAGTCTTAAGGCAAATCTGTGGATGTACAAAGTGGAAAATGAAGAGTGGAAAGCAATAGCAAAATACATAATCTGTTTAAATTACCGGCATCATAGCGCTAATGAACTGCAGTGGATGGAGAGATAATGAAGGATAACAGAGAGACAGAAGCTGCATACCTTAAAGAAGGGGAGTAGACTATGGGAGAGACTAAGAAGATGGTGAAGAGATAATATACCGGCAGACTTACAAACACTTGGAGTTACCACTCAGAAAGAAACGGTCAATCACAGAGATGAATGAAGGCAACTGTTGTCTGCAGCAGTGAACCCCAAGGGCTCAGAATGCTGAAGAAGAAGAACACATCTCTATAAGTATCTTACATGGAAGTCTACAATAATTTTACATGTTGATCTCTGCAGTAGTTTTTTTTTAAGCGAAGATGTTGATTATTTTACATGAAATTCTTTCATTTTTAAATAGAGGTCCATACAATAGTTATACTTAAAAGTCTCTGTAATCATTTTCTTGAAGGTTTTTTAAATTATCTGTCATGAAAGTTTACAATAATTTGACCACTGGGTCACTGCAATAATTACACTTAAAAACTATGATCAATAGTTTTACCTTTTTAAAAAATGAAAAACATCTTGTGCAATATATCCTTGTCATTGAGAGTAAGAAAAAGAATTCTTGCTTGCTACATACATCCAGTTTTAACATATGGCTGTGAATCCTGGACAATCGGTAGGCAGGCCAAACAATTTTTAGAGGCCTCAGAGATGTGGTTTTACAGAAGAATGCTTAGAATACCTTGGACAGCCAAAAAGAGCAACCAAGAGGTTTTGAAAGAGGCGGGAGCCCGAAGACAACTTATCACAGACATCAGAAGGAGACAATCATCATGTTTTGGCCATGTTATAAGAAGAGGGAAAATAGAACATGTTGTGACCACTGGAAAGATATGTGGAAGGAGAGATAGAGGAAGACAACGAGAGAAGATGCTTGACAGTCTTGTTGCATAGCATGGAGGTGTGTCAGCACACGAACTGATACATGCTGCAGGAGATCGCAGATTATGGAGAGGCATGATCGCCCACGCCAGTCGGCAGGGCACCTGATGATGATGATGATGAGTTTTACCTAAGGCTCTCTATGATGGTTTTATGTACAGGTCTATACCAGGGCTATTCAACTGGTGGCTCATGGGTCGAATCTGGTCCGTAGAGACTTAGCAAGTAGCCCAAAGATCACCTGTCAGTTGTTTTGTATTTGTTGAGTTGAGTTGAGTCAAGAATTGACATCACAGCACAGCGTGCTCCGTCCTCATCTTCAGCAGCCAGTGCAGAGTTCCAGTACTGATAGTACGGGTACAATCTTGCCTTTCCACTGAGTGTAGTGAGCCGGCCAGACCCTCTGGTTACACCCAGGTGGCTTATTCTCTCCAGGCCATAATTTTATTGTAATAATGATCTTTCTGTGCTGGAGATGTGGCTTCTGGCCCATGACGATCCCCAGTTCCAAAGTTTTGGTTCCTGAGCAAACTTGGTTGAATAGCACTGCCCTATACAGTTATTCATTGTTCATGTAAAGGTCATCTTCATCGCACATTGAACATGACCATAAGTAATCCGATCCACTCCTGAGTATGTCTTCAATTGGTACACTCAGTGTTTGCAGTATATTAATTAAAAATCATTTTCCACGAAAAATGCAATTATCTTACATGTAAGTAATTTACAGTAAGTGTATATGTTTACAATAATTTTAACCATGTTCTTTTTTTCTCTTGAAGAACCTGGGAAACTTTGGACCCCTGAGATGCAGAGAATTCTATGCACTAGATTATTTACAGAAGCAGGCTGTGATACTGGAAAGATTGGTGAAAACAGCTAAATCTAGTCAGGAAGTTAATTTGGCTGCAGGTGGGTCAGAAATCTGGCAGTATATAAATTCTGTAAACATGGGATAATTATTTTAAATAATTCAGTCCAAAAAATGGCTTGAACTTGTTACTTTTTTTAACATGCTAGTTTCACCAAAAATTAAGTATGTTAACTGCACATAAACATATTCTTATAAAATAAATGTACCGGTTTCCCTTTACCTTCCACAGCTATTCAAATTATGTGTGTGTGATGGCAATATTTATATTTTGGAGCAATTTATTTGCTTTTATCTGAGAAAGCTAGGCATCTGAACTACCAGACCACGATCAGGCAGAGAGTAAACAAGTTGCTCACATCTGGAATCTGTCTCTATAATTAGTTAGTGATTAGATTTTCCTTATTCCACATTGAACCATTCATTCCATAAATTCTTGGATCTTCTTCTAATAAATCCAGCAGCATCTAGTGGCTAATGACACCAGTTCTGTGTTAGTTTATTATTCTACTTGGCTTCCTGCATAGTGCTCTTGCCTGGCCACACCCCCTTTAACTTGCTGTTCTTGCAGCCTGATCACTGTTGCAGATTCACAGTCGTCACTTGGTTCTCGCAAACGTCTTACATATTGTAGAGCATTCAGTATCTTGCCTGGTCTATGGCTTGTCTGCCTTTCATAGCAGCCTTAACTCAAGCCTATCAGCTTGCTTTATTTTCTGTCTCACCTGCTTGCCCTGGCACAAAAATAAAACTGATCCTCTTCGGCTGTGACCGCCTCAGAAACACCAACCACTGTCTTCAGGCCCAGCCCATTTCTATCTCCCTGGGCGGGCTCGTTGAGTCACAGAGAAATCATGCCTGAGTGAAAGACTTTGTCTCCAGCCAGGTTATTGCTTTAATTACTGCCGTGACCTCCATTGTCATCAGTATCATTCATCATCATCATCCTCATGTGCCATTGTATAACTCATCATAGGGTTCGAAGTCTAGTCCAGCATTCTGTTCTGTCCGGTGCAGTCCTCTTGGTATCATGGATGAGATCCAATCGGGCACGTTAGGCCTCAGCAACATTTGTCTCAGGGCTTCTCTTAGACGTCTATGTTTCCTGAATCAATTTTTTTCCCATTTTAGTGCTTGTTTGGTATCTCCCTATCCATTTCTCCCCAGTATATTGCCATCTTTTTTTTTTTTCATTGTATAATTAATGATTCAAGCTCTTATCTAGATCTTTCTCTTACTTCCTCACCTAAACTGGGTGTCATATTTTATCAGAAATAAAATCAGCTGTCATATTGATCATGTCACCAACTGAGTTTTGATTTGTCTATAAAAAATATGGATTAGCACCATATGCCCAGTGCACATTATCATGAAAATAGTTTTACTTACTCTAATTGTTGTCCCTACACCAGCCAGTACAGAACAGGAGCCATCAGCTTAAACACTGAAACATGCTTAAGAGTGGGGCTGGCAATGTTTGTTTCCCCCCTAAAGATCCTGGTTTTCGGCAAAGTTCACATTGGCAGCCCTGGTTAGGAGAAGATCTGAGCACTTAAGGATCTGCACGACAAGCAGAGAAGATGATCTTGACATGAACAGTGAAAGAAGAATCTCTTCTAACCCTGGTCTGAAATGTTCTGTTTCCAGTGTTTTCTAACCCGGGTCTGAAATGTTCTGTTTCCAGTGTTTTCTAACCCTGGTCTAAAATGTTCTGTTTCCAGTGTTTTCTAACCCTGGTCTGAAATGTTCTGTTTCCAGTGTTTTCTAACCCGGGTCTGAAATGTTCTGTTTCCAGTGTTTTCTAACCCTGGTCTGAAATGTTCTGTTTCCAGTGTTTTCTAGCCCAGATGACGTCACAGGACAGTCCAACATTTTAGAGGGTTGTAAGACTGGGTTTCCTGGCTTTCTGATGCTTTTAACGACCCCAAACATCTAGAACTGGCCCTGACCACAATCCACCTATGTCCCGCAAGAGATTGCAGCCTAGGTCCCACGACTGCATGCAGCCTAGGATCCACGACTGCGTCCAGCCTATCTACCGCCCCTGAAATATTAGACTGTCCCCTCACCTGTGGATATTCCCTGTTTGAGGTAGGATATTAATAAAGCAACAAATGTTCTGTTTTCAGTGTTTTCTGAAAGGACTTTGGACAAAACATTGAAAGAAGTCTGGGAGCTTTGTACTGATCAAGCAGTGCTGTATACACAGGCAGAAAAGCTTGTCTCTGTACTAGAACATAAGTTTGCTGGCAATCTTTCGGAGAAGTACCAAGTCAAACCATTGCGAAGTAAGTATGTTTTGTACATCTTTTCATTCAGTTGGTAAATTAGTGAAAACTTTTTTGGAAGCTGTGGAGATGTGGTTTTATAGACAAATGATGAGAATACCCTGGACACATAAAAAGAGTAATAAAGATGTCTTGAAAGCAACTGACACCCGAAGAGAACTGATTTTCGACATCAGAAAGAGAAAATCTACGTTCTTTAGTCAGGTGATGAGAAGGAGAAAACGTGAGTACATCGTGACAGTAGGAAAGTTGGAGGAGAGGCAGAGGGAGACCGAGAGAAAAGATGCTGGGCAGTTTAACATCGTGACATGGAGGATCATCTGTGTCAGAGTTGATTGAAAGTACACGAGACAGAAGGTTGTGGACAGACATGACTACCAGCGCCACAAGGAGAGGTGGACTTGAAGAAAGAGAAGAAAGATGTAAAATCATACCAGGGCTCCTACTGGTCAAGACTTATTCACACCTCTCCGCGACCATCCTGGAAACTGGTTCCTAGCTGGCAGCCTGTTGTTCATAGACCATCAGATAGAAACCATGAATTACATTGCCTTGTCTTTGTTTTTACACAAATAAGATTTAGCGGCCTCTCAAAAAACAGTACTGCAGGGCTCAGTAGAGGGGAAGAAAAGAAGAGGCAGACCAAGAAAGACCTTGATATAGAATTTGACTAACTGGAAAGGCCTCAGGCATGCAACCATGAAGTCCGTTGCAACTGACCACCAAAGGTGGAGACAGTGATCAGGCAGAACAAAAAATGGTGACCCAATGACACATAGTGTTAGGGGATGATGATGAAGATGTCATTGTGTAATAAAATTGCCTTGTCTTTGTTTCAGTATTCCATCAGGTTATGGCACGGATGTTGTACGCCACCACATATGAGCCAGAGATTGGGTCTACATCCATCGTCACAGTGCACCAGTTTATGTTGTTCTTCAGGGGAATCAGTGTGCTTGCCAAGATAGAGAAGATTGCAGACGAATGTAAGTAATTCTTTCTGTTGAAATACTGGTTGTAATTTGCTGTAAAATATATTAGCTTTTGGTTGGTAACATTAATTAAGAAAGTTAGAATTTCTGATCCTGTAACAGCTGAGTAATAATAATCTCTAATTCTTGAGCAGCCAGGGTATTGAGAATTTCTAGTTCTGTTAGTTGTTAGCTGGTCATTAGTTCATAGTCCAGGTTCCAGCAGATGCCACATAACTGCTGCATTTCTGTGTCGTTGGACAACGAGTAAGAAACTTGTCAGTTCCAGAAAAATCTTGAAGCTTGCACATGCAAAGTAAAAATGCATATAAGGATGTAATGCTAATCTAATCTTATTCTCACTGTAATTTAATTCTGTATCTTTAGTGTATTAAGAATCTCTAATCCCATATCACTTTTGTATTTAAAATATCTTCTTTGCCTTCACCGACTGTAAACTCCGGCGGAAAGTTCTGGTCGTTCGTAAACTTTTGGACTCTAGTCCTGTTCCAGAAACTGTGTGTTGCATGCACATCAGTTTCACAGACCTGACTCATGTGCAGGTAGACTGTTGGCACTCTGACTTGGAAGGAAGCTCCGAATTAGTTGATTTTTACAACATGCTTTTGGGCAGTCAGTGAGTCTGTTCTTGTTTTTTCTCACAATGGGGAAAAAAAGTATAATCCTGTGACTTCTGTGCATTGAGAATCTCTAATTCTGTATCAGATGCATTGAGAATCTCTAATCTTGCACCTTCTATGTATAAAGAATCTCATATCCTTCTTAATCTCTGTCCAGGTGCTCCGACACACAGCCAAAAAATCCCTCAGAGCACAACCCCTCATAAATGTTTGGGGAGTTGGGGCGAAGCGTTCTCTAATAATTTTAGGCTTTATTGTTCAGACCTTCGCCCAGCCCTTAAAATAATTAGAGAAACAGCCTCCCCTCCCCCTCCCTCCTCCCTTTTTTTTCATGATTTGCAAAATGGGTGGGGGGGGGGGGGGCACTCAGATTTCTGGAACCTTCAGGATTTAGCTCCCTTGTATATGTAATAAGAAATTCCTATGTGGGTTCTGGGGCCAGATTTTGGGAAAGACAAGAATAGACCCATTGCATCCCTAACAAGTGTGTCACTGGAGTCAATTAAGCGGCAAGGAACAACCAACTGTACACAAAAAAGTCAGGATCTGGCACAAAATCAAAGTCCAAATGGATGAATAACCAGTAGTTTTCTTTGTAGCTTACGGTCAGTGAACAAAGAAGAAGATATTAAAAATGTTTAATCCTGAATCATCTGTAAATTATGAATCTCTAATCCTGCATCATCAGTGTATCTCCTGGACCTGCTCAGCTCTGTCACCAGTGAAACGGTCATCAAAGCCATCGTCAGTCTCCAGGACCACCTGCCACCTCCCGTCTGCCTCAAGATGCTGGCCAAACTCTTGGCGGGCAACAACAGAGAGATCCTGCAGGCTGCCAGCGTGTACTTGAGGATCATCAGCAGGGAAAAGTCCCAGAGAGAAACAGTGAGTTTCATTGTCCAGTATTTGTTTTAGAGGGTAAAGTGAGATTTATTAGTCCAGTATTTCTTTTAGAGAAGTATAGTGAGATTTATTAGTCCAGTATTTCTTTTAGATGGATATGGTGGGATTTATTAGTCCAGTATTTAATTTAGAGAAGTATAGTGAAATTTATTTGTCCAGTATTTCTTTTAGAGAAGTATAGTGCGATTTATTAGTCCAGTATTTCTTTTAGAGAAGTATAGTGAGATTTATTAGTCCAGTATTTCTTTTAGAGAAGTATAGTGAGATTTATTAGTCCAGTATTTCTTTTAGAGAAGTATAGTGAGATTTTTTAGTCCAGTATTTCTTTTAGAGAAGTATAGTGAGATTTATTAGTCCAGTATTTCTTTTAGATGGATATGGTGTGATTTATTAGTCCAGTATTTCTTTTAGATGAATATGGTGTGATTTATTAGTCCAGTATTTCTTTTAGAGGAGTATAGTGAGATTTAATTGTCCAGTATTTCTTTTAGAGGGATTTAGTGAGATTTATTAGTCCAGTATTTCTTTTAGAAGGGTATGGTGGTGAGATTTATTAGTGCAGTATTTCTTTTAGAGGGGTATGGTGAGATTTATTTTCAAGAATTTCTTTTAGTGGGGTAAAGGAAGATTCATAGTCAACTATTTCTTTTAGAAGGTAAAGTGAGATTTATATTCCAGTAATTCTTTTAGAGGAGTATAGTGAGATTTAAATTCCAGTATTTCTTTTAGAGGGGTAAAGTGAGATTTATATTCCAGTATTTCTTTTAGAGTTGTGTAGGTTTTTATTTTCAGTTCTTACTTTGAGAGGGTTTCATAAGTTTCAAAACAGACAGAGGCTGACCTAAAAGGCATGGAAAAGTGAATTAGAGGTGGAGTTAAGTACTATAGGGAAAGTCTCAGAGAGAGTTGCTGGACATGACAAAATAAAGGATGACTTGGTAGGGACTGGTTGGGGAACAAAGGGAGGAAGAATTTGATTTTTATTATAAATATATTTTGACCACATTCAACGTGCTGAGTACAGCCTTGGTTATATTATGGCTGTCTTTTATCTGTGTCATGTTTGATGACTTGGTTTGCCTGGTTGTGTTTCCGTTTCCTGTTGTCTGTCTTTGATGATCTGAGTTGCAGGTGGGGTATTGTTTTCTTTGTGCCATATTTAATGGCTTAGTTATGTTGAAAAGCAACATCACAGCATTTAATAAAGTGAAGGTCCCTTTTTCCACGCCTTTGGGCGTATTGGGAATACAGGGCTAGACCTATATTTTTATAGACTGATCGGCACTTGGTGGGTGATGTGGTCAGCATAACGCCAGCCACCTTTACTTCCCAGGATTGCACCTGGTACCCACTCAAGGCTGAGAGTCAACGTCATTTTTGAAAAAAGGTCTGGCTCAGTCAGGACGCAAACCCATGACCTTCCGATCCGCAGGCGGGCGTCTAGCTGCCAAAGCCACTGCGACTCGCACAGCACTTGGTACATTCTCTTAATTTGATAGTTAGGAGGAGAGAGGGGGAATAAGGAACGAACGGATGCACTTTATTTTCAAAGGGTTACAAATTGGGCACGCAGGCCCATCTTACATTCGGCTCTTCCAAACACCCGTCTTTCACACAGCAGTTGTATTTTATAAATAAAGCATGTTATGTTCATACAATAGTATGCATATTATGAATATCAAAGAAAAACACAAAAGCATGGGTGGTAAAAATGCATGCACACACACACCCCCACATACACACGCCCGCTCTCACACACACACACACACACATACATACACACCCCGAATACATACATTCATACATACACACACATACATACAAGCCCCGAATACATACATAAACACACATAGACAAACATTCATGCATACATACATACATACATACACACACATACATACACACACACACACACACACACACACATGCACACACACACACACATACATACAGGTGTCCATGCATACAGACACACACAGAGAAACACGCAGACGCACACACAGACAGACACACACACAGTCACACTCACAGACATACATAGACATACATACATATATACACACCCACATTCACACACTCACAGATACATAGTCATACATGTAGACATACACATACACAGACACACACAGGAAGAAGAAGCACTACAACTATATATATATGTACATGTGTGTGTGTATATATATATATATATATATATATATATATATATATATATTTTTTTTTTTTTTTTTATAAGAAGCACTATATATATATCTCTCTCTCTCTCTTACCTCAAGGCATGGAAAATCATATTATACTAAACATCAGAGCTCTTTAACTAATTTTACTCAATGGCTAATTGAAAATCGGTATAGTCATGGGTCAGAAGCGGCATTATAGAAAGATCATTAATACAATACAAAAGGCAGTGATCCGGGGGCCACTTGCTAGGCCTTTGTGGGCCAGATTTGGCCTGCCCACCAATTAATAAATAGCCCTGCTATACTTCTTCTTAAAGTTCATGCCGTGTGGGGTTGGAAGTTATGTCTATCCACAACTTTCTGTCTCGTGTACTTTTAGTAAACTCTGACACAGATGATCCTTCATGCCATGATGTCATTCTGTCCAGCATCTTTTCTCTCTGTCTCCCTCTGCCTCTCCTTCCCTCCAACTACTGTCCCGATGTACTCCAGTTTTCTCTTCCTCATCACATGGCCAAAGAATTAAGATGGTCTATTTCTGATGTAGGCAATCGGTTCTCTTTGTGAGTCAGTTTCTTTCAAGAAATCCTCATTATTCTTTTTTGTCTGTCCAGGGTATTCTCATCATCTGTCTAAAAAACTACATCTCCGCAACTTCCAAAGAATTTTTCATCAATCTACCAACTGTCCATGATGCACTTCCATATATCAAGATAGGATTTATATAACTTTTAAGAATTCTGTTTCTCGTCTCAATTGACAAAGAAAAATTACCTAAAACATTCTTCATGCATGGACAAATTTATGTGAAAATATTAATCTTTGTGAAAACTCCTCAGGCATTGGTTGTTTTGGTTGAAGGACTGGAGGATCATATCACAGAGGTCAGGGCTGGGTGCTGTGTGGCTCTGTCCATTTTTGAGGTAAGGTCACTCAAAGATCAATAAGCAAAAGGAATTAACTGTTGCTGTTATTTTTCTTTCTTTTATTGGTCCTACAGCGATTTCCGTAAAAGAGCAAAGAAAGGAGTTAAAAGTAGTTTCCTTCTCTTGCTAGCTGTGCAGCTTGGTGTAATGTCATATTGCTTTTCTATAGTGTCTCTTTTACACCCATCTCTTTGAAAGTTCAACCCAAAAGTTGAACAAATCCATCTCACAAACAAACATTTCTAGGTTTCTACTGTTCTTGGAGAATTGCTCTAGAACCTAGTAATGATAACGAAAATGACTGTCTTCCAAGTGATCAGTTGGTACCATAGCTGCTTGTTTACCCTTTCATCAATCAGTCCTATATAGTATAAAGCTTGTATATCCTGTACCACCTCAAAGAGTTAACATTATTCAAGATTTAATAACTTATCACAAACGTGGGGGGGGGGGGGGGGGCTGCATGTTTTCGGGCATGGTGTCTGCCTCGAGTGCTAGAGGTTCTGGGTTCAATCCCCGATAAGGGCTGGGATTTTTTCTCATGGACTTGGACTTCTAGTAATTCCGCCTGGTCTGAGGGTAGTGATATCGGACACCTGTGTGCATTGTTGTGTACGTAAAATATCCCTTGGAAGTTGGAAATTGAAAAGAGTAGCCTAATGGCGGTGTCCGGGCAATATTTGGAGTTAAAAATCTACCCAAAGTATTTCAGGATCCTTGCCGGTGCTACAGAGCCTGTGCACTGAGCTGAGCTTCTTCGGACTCAGACTTGAGTTAGAAGAAGAACGGAGCACTCATGCGTTACTACCCGTGTGCCATGATGTTGATCCGTTGTTCAAAACTCAAACCTCACAAACATCAGAAAGGGACAGTCATCATTGTTTGGTCATATAATGAGAAGAAAGAAACTGGAATAAGTTGTGACCTCTAGAAAGGAATGATCTGTGGAAAAAGAGACAGAGGAAGATGGTGCGAGAGATTCTTGGCAGTCTTTTTTTGTCATGGCATGAAGAGGAGTCAGCCCATGAGCTTTTATACATGCTGTTGAAGATAGCAGACTGGAGAAGCTTGATCCTCCATGCCAGTTGGCAAGACACTTGAAGATGACAATGATTGAAGGATGTGAGGGGTCTTGAGTATGAGGATTTAGGGCCACAGGGACTGTGCAGGTTAGAACCTTATTTTTACATCTGACAGAAAAAAATGCATATCCTTACTAAGGATTTGAATTCAGTCCTACATTCATAACTACTCAACCAGTCGCTCGTCACCTTGGTTCCAATTTTATCTGCTGAAGGCAAAATAAAAATCTTACCCTGTAAACTCTTGGCAGCGGGACAGCTATGAAACCTCCTGCTTTACCAGCAACGTACAAGGGGGCTTCAAATGAAAACCCTAAACATGTGACATTAATCTGAGTTCGTAGATTAATAAAGTCTAACATTGGTGCCAAGAAATGTCTTGGAAAAATATGGACAGTGTGGCACTGACCTTACCATCTATCCTCTAAATTTAATTAATGTATTCAAATATGGATTTATAACACCATATACCTTGTGAATGTCAAGGACAAAGACCCATTTCTTTAGGTCAACAATAGTCCATATGCCATAGATAGTCATTAGTCACAGCTGGAGGTTGACTCCAGATGGGTTGCCCTATCTCTCTCTTCTGCCTTTCTATCCCCTAAGGAAGAATAGGCCCTCAACCAACTCACGCCAAGTCATTCTATCCTTCGCCATTGCATGGAGCTCTCCCCATGTCCTCCCCATCTTTCTAACTTCATTCTCCAGCTCTCTTCTCCATGTGTTTTTTGGCCTTCCTTTATTCCTATGCCCCTGTGGTTTCCAATGCAAAGACATTCTAGTTAAGCTGTTCTCCTGTTTTCTCAGTGTGTGTCCTATCTAACGCCAGAGTCTTTTCCTCACCTCTTGGTCCACTGGAGCCTGTTTAGTTCTCTCCCAAAGCTCTGCATTAGTGATTCTATCGTACCATTTCATTCCCTCTATTCTGCGCAGGCACCAGTTAATGAATGTCAGTAGTTTATTAGTAATTGCCTTAGTTGCTCTCCATGTTTCCGCCCCATACTCAAGTACTTATGAATGGGGTTGCCCTAAAACTGCTTCGTTCTCCCCATGTGTGTTCCGGGACCCCATTATGGGGAAAACAATAATAGACCCACTGCTTACCCAAAAGCTTGTCGTCAGAGTTGACTAACAGGGAGCTTCCTTCAAAGTGGGAGTGCATCTGCCTGAGAGGCAAGGAACCAACAGTCTGCATACAAATGAGTCAGAACTGTAAAACTCAGGTTCTGGAACAGGACTAGAGTCCAGAAGTGGATGAACAACTAGAACTTTTGGCTCGAGTTTACAGCTGGTGAACAAGAAGAAGAAGACTGCTTTGTTCACGTACCAACAAAATGCCCTTTCCTGTCCAATTTTAAAACTAGGGAAAAATATACCAGTCCCAGCAAAATCCTGAAGCTCAAACATACAAAATAAATGCAAAAGGCAGCCATCGGATGTGCCAACATTAACAGTCCCACATCAGACATCAGAATTGCAGCTCACTGTCGATGCAAGCAATCAGTTACAAAAGCTAGCATTATACACATGCCATAGATAAAATATCAATAATGCCCATGCTGCTCACTGATGGTGTCTGAATTCTGTGTCTGCACATGTTCCAGGCAGTCGAGTGCATCAGTCAGCTTGTCCACCTCAGCCAAACAGATTCATCATCCACGGTTCGCAGGAAAGCCAAAGAGTCCCTGTACTCATTAGGTAAGTTAGGCTGACACCTTTGCTTTACTCCAGGTTACTGGATGCTTTCTCTCTCTCTCGCTCTCTGATTTGTGTGAGAGGAAAACTTGAAAGGTCCAGATGTAAGGTGAGCTTGCGTGCCCAATTTGTAACCCAAAAACAAAAAAAAGGTTTGTTTATTCGTTGGTTTGTCGTCTCCTCACCGGCTTCTCTCAGTTTGGGTATATTTATTCTTCTTCTTCGCATTCACTGGTTGTAAACTCCAGCGGAAAGCTCTGGATGTTCGTCCATCTCCAGACTTTAGTCTTGTTCCAGAACTTGAGTGTTGCCTGCACATCTGTTTCACAGATCTGGCTTATTTGAATGCAGACTTGTGGTTCCTTGCCTCTCGGTCAGATATACTCTGACTTTGAAGGATGTCCCCAATTAGTCGACTCTTAGGACATGCTTGTTAGGAAGGCAGTGGGTCTACAATTGTTTTCCCCACAGTGGGGCCCTGGAACACTCACAAGTGTGGGTATTGAGTTAGGGACTCTTGGAGACAAAATACCTACAAATTATGGAAGAAAGACCACCAGCCTAAATCTTATCTCAACAAATCTATTTCTCCTGTGCTGAAACCTGAAATAGTTATATCCTAATCAAATGGTCAGAAAAAAAACTGCTGTTAGGCATCCAGACAACGGGAGGCTGTTGCACAAGACCAATCTGGATAGCGTAGTTCCTCAAACATGGTGCATCAGCCTGCCAGGCAGCAGAGGTTGCACTAGCAGAGAAACTGAGGCAGACCAACAAGAACTCTCCATGTGGGTTCTGGGCATCATTGAGAGGGAGGGGAGAGGGGGGGGGGGTTAAACTGAGCCCAGGTTGACCCTGCCTAAAATGGGTACCAGGTGTTAACATCACCCAAAGAGGGCTGACTATAACAATTTGAGTAGCATCATTTGCCCGTTTCACAACTGGCATTTTATGAATGAGTACCAGATAAAGTCATGGGAAGTAAAGGCAGCTGGTGGAATGGTGACCACATTATCCAATGAGGGCTGGCTGATCCATAAAAAATGAATACAGCATCATGTGCTAGCATAAAATGGGGTCTTTTACTCTACAGATCACAGCTAAAGGCTTTTATAGTATACAAATCACAGCTAAAGGCTTTTTGGTACACAAATCACAGCTAAAGGCTTTTCTGGTATACAAATCAGAGCTGAAGGCTTTTCTGGTACACAAATTACAGCTAAAGGCTTTTTTGGTACACAGATCACAGCTGAAGGCTTTTCTGGTACACAGATCACAGCTAAAGGCTTTTCTTGTACACAAATCACAGCTAAAGGCTTTTCTAGAACACAAATCACAGCTAAAGGCTTTTCTAGAACACAAATCACAGCTAAAGGCTTTTCTGGTACACAGATCACAGCTAAAGGCTTTTCTGGTACACAGATCACAGCTAAAGGCTTTTCTGGTACACAAATCACAGCTAAAGGGTTTTCTGGTACACAGATCACAGCTAAAGGCTTTTCTGGTAGCATGACCAGTTGTACTGTTCCAAAACTCAAAAGGACACCCCCCCCCCCCCCCCCCCCAAATGTAAATGGCGTACGTAAGTGATGTTGCCGTTCATTCTAATCTTAGCTATAGTTTACATTACTTACTTACTTAGTCGCTCCTCTTCTACCTTGGGGTGTAGAGGTTTGCCAGAGAGATCGCCAGATGTCTCTATCAACAGTTTGTTTACATTACTGTACTACTAAAAAAATAAAACAAAAGCACAGCTACTAAAACTTCTTTTCTTATTCACCAGCTGTAAACTCTGACAGAAAGTCTGGATGTTTGTCCACTTCTGGACTTTAGTCCTATTCCAGAACCTGAGTGTTGGGTGCGGTCCGTTTTACAGATCTGACTTATGTGTATGCAGACTGTTGGTTCCTCACCTCTCTGGCAGATGCACTCTGACTTCGAAGGAAGCTCCCAATTAGTCGACTCTTACGACATGCTTTTGGGTAGGCAGTGGGACTATTCTTATTTTCCCCATAATGTGGCCTCGGAACCCACACGGGGATATACTGGAACCTAATTTTGATATTCAAAATCTTTATGTAACGAGTGAAACTATTCAAATTGCACACAAGAATACCTTAGGGTTCAACCAGTCAGTTGATAGTTCTTCTATCTCTGGCTCGCCAACAGTTTTTGGTCTACTGGCTTTCCTGACAACTATTTAAAATGCGCCATTAAATAACTATTGCTTTTTTTTACACACAGGATAACTATGTATTTTTGTTTAAATAGTGCAGTTAGCTAGTGTGTCTTATTGGGGCCTGCAGACTTATCAGGGCCTGCACAAAGTTCTTGGGCCCTCAGTTTTGGTTGTCAGCTGGAAAGGACTATAAAAGCTAGTGCGCTCTCTCTCGTGTGTGTTCGCGCGTGAGCGTGCGCACATATTTTACCACCCATGCTTTTGTTTTTGACTTTATATATATAATATGCATATTATTACATAAATATAACATGCTTCATTGATGAAATACAGCTGCTGTGCGAAAGATGGAAGTTTGGAAGGGCCTAATGTAAGACAGGCCTGCGTAACCCTTTGAAAATAAAGTTTGTTCGTTCGTTCGTTCTCTATAAACAAGACTATGCCTTATACAGCTAGTGCTCTCTCTGTGTACAGCTAGTGCTCTTTCTGTGTACAGCTAGTGCTCTCTGTGTACAGCTAGGGCTTTTTCTGTGTACAGCTAGGGCTCTCTGTGTACAGCTAGGGCTTTTTCTGTGTACAGCTAGTGCTCTTTCTGTGTACAGCTAGTGCTCTCTGTGTACAGCTAGTGCTCTTTCTGTGTACAGCTAGTGCTTTTTCTGTGTACAGCTAGGGCTCTCTGTGTACAGCTAGGGCTCTTTCTGTGTACAGCTAGTGCTCTCTCTGTGTACAGCTAGTGCTCTCTCTGTGTACAGCTAGTGCTCTCTCTGTGTACAGCTAGTGCTCTTTCTGTGTACAGCTAGTGCTCTCTGTGTACAGCTAGTGCTCTTTCTGTGTACAGCTAGTGCTTTTTCTGTGTACAGCTAGGGCTCTCTATGTGTACAGCTAGTGCTCTCTCTGTACAGCTAGTGCTCTGTGTGTACAGCTAGTGCTCTCTCTTTACAGCCAGGGCTCTCTGTGTACAGCCAGGGCTCTCTGTGTATAGCCAGGGCTCTCTGTGTATAGCCAGTGCTCTCTGTGTACAGCTAGTGCCCTCCTTGCAATCAGCTATGAAACATGTTTCTATTTCTTCCGTCTAGGTGATGTTGGCAGAAAAGCAGTAGAAGAGGCTCAGCTGGGTGCCCAAGGTTTCCAAGGTCTTCAGATGCACAAGCCTTGTTTCAGCAAGATAATATAGACACCAGCTGTTAAGTTGTTTATACTGGGTCGGTCCAGAGGTGAAGCATCCTAGGAATTGCAAAACAGGCACCAAAATGGGAAAAAAATTGATTGAGGAAATGACTTTTTTCCCAAGACAACCCAGTGACAGACTTTAAAGAGAAGCTTGAGGTACCTGAGTTCCATATAATATTTAAAAAATGGCACAGTACAGAACGCAACTAAGGCATCGACTGAGAGCCCTATGTGGCATATAAATGGCACAGCAAGATGTTAATAAGTGTTTGAGGGATTGTCTTATATGAGTAGCCTGTAATGCAGTGATCCCACACCAGGCAGTGTTCAGGGGGCACTGAGATGTCTCTATGACAGTCAAAAGTGGAATACGTACAAATCTGGTGGGAGACAATGAGCGTTTTTTGCCAGGCTTTGATTGTTACTCTCTTACGGCATGCTCAGATAACTGTGTGCGGCTGTGTATATACGATGTCTAGATCCATTAATGATTCTCTTATCACATTTAATTATCCACATCTTGATTTGCCTCAAGATCAGCCTCTATCTTCCAAAGATGCAAAGCCAGTGATTCTCAAACTGGGGCAGTGATGCTTTCAACTTACAGATTTAATACTAAAATGTTTGTCAGTATGTGTGAGAGCTAAAATTGTTGCAGTTAAAAAAAGATGTGTGCTGGTATGTGTGGGAGCTCTCCATTTGGGTTCTGGTGCCCCATGTTGGGGCTGGGTGGGGGGTGCGGACCCACTGCTCCCAGCAAGCATGTAGTAAAAGGCAACTAATTAGGAGTTTGTTGAACTCTGATGTGTTGAGCAGCCTAGCAGATACCATAACAAAAGGAAATATGTGTTGGAGCTAAAATTGTTGAAAAAAAAATTTTTTTTAAAGAGGTGTGTTTCTGCAAGTCTAAATAGTTAGGAGCTAAGTGTATGGCATAGGGTACATATGTATGGAGAAGCAGTTTTAACAGGGTGTGCTTGTATGTATGTAACGTAACCTTGGAGGCATATGGGTAGCCAAAAAAAGTGGCCAGAATCACTGGTCTAAACCAAAGCTGTTGATGCTCTATGCTGCATTTAAATAATTTAATTATAAAGATATTATTTTGTATTTAATTAATTGCACAAACATTTGTATACACATATATATATTTTTTTTTTACTGACCACACATTCCAGAAGCATATATTTGCATTGTATTTCTGTATATTATCTCCACATTTGTCATTTTGTCTCACTAACTCTCATACAAAATCATTTTTTTTACTTAATATTGCATCTTCTATTATTAACATTGTATTTCAAACAAACTCGGTGTTGGTTCACTGCTATTATCTGGCTAAGAGATCAGTGTTGGTTTCACAATGCAGTACTCTACATTTACCCAGTTTCATTCTCACGGTAGGAAGTTTAGAAAAAGGTCATTCTCATGGATTTCAATTTAGAAAAAATGATTGCTCTCATAGGTTTCAATTTAGAAAAACATTGTTCTCATAGATTTCAATTTAGAAAAACATTGTTCTCATAGGTTTCAATTTAGAAAAAGATGGTTCTCATGGATTTCAATTTAGAAAAAGATCGTTCTCATGGATTTCAATTTAGAAAAAAACTATCGTTCTCATAAATTGTAATTTAGAAAAAAATGATTGTTCTCATGGATTTCAAATTAGAAAAAAATGATTGTTCTCATTGATTTCAATTTAGAAAAAGATTGTTCTTATGGATTTCAAATTAGAAAAAAAAAATGATAGTTCTCATGGATTTCAATTTAGAAAAAAATGATTGTTCACGTGGATTTCAATTTAGAAAAAGATCGTTCTCATAAATTTCAATTTAGAAAAAAGATTGTTCTCATGGATTTCAATTTAAAAAAAAAACAATTGTTCTCATAGATTTAAATTTCGAAAAAGATGTTCTCATGGCTTTCAGACAGCTGTACGAGAGTCATACCAAGGAAGAGATTAAGGCTTCACCTCTTAATATTGCCATTTAGCCGTAGAAACATTGCAGTCAACCTCTATTGAGGACAAGGTCAATTTGTGTGTGTAAATGATTGATTATGAAAAGAAAAAACAAGAATATTTGCAGCTATTAGAAAGAGAGATGGAGAAAGATTCTTGGCAGCTTTTCACCATGGAAGGGAGAAAATGTCAGCATGAGAATAACATTCTTTCCGTTGGAGATTATAAAGCTGATCTGTGATTCAGGTGATCAATGTAGATGGCTAACCATGACTGAATATCCTCACTGGCATGTGTGTTTGAATATATATCAAATTGTGGAGAAGCAGTTGGGTTATTAATCATCATCACTTGGGGCATCAGTATGAGCGCTCCGCCCCCATCATCAGCAGAGTTTTAGGTTCAGTGGTACCAGTTGCAGTCTGATTATACATCCGTTTTGCCTTTCCCCTGAGTATGTGGTGAGGTAATGACCCTCAGTCTGCAAGACACTTGATGGTGGTGATGATGTAGGTTCTGCAGGAAGCCAAAGTGACTCAGAGATCAGTATCTAGTTGTTGCAGGCAAAGGTTGTGAACTCTAAACCATCCACCATGTTGTCAAGGAAGCTTCTGTCCCCAGCAGCTCCTGGCCTGGTCATGATGATCTATAGTCTGTTTTGGAATTTATGCCTTTGTATTTTTTATAATTTCAGTAATTATTATTGTTTTTGTTTTTTGCATGGGCTCCTATTTTTTATAGTGACGTTAATTTTTTAAATATAAATAACTTTTATTACATTGCCCAGTTGTATTGAAACAGACACTGTCTGTGTTACTTTTGACACTACTATAATTTTAGTTAAGTATCAAAACAAACCAACGTGGATTAACCTAACTCTAGCCCTAACCACTTAAGTTATGACTTTACAACTTTCACAAATTTGGAAACTACCAGTGCACTGTTTTTTTTTACAGCGCATTGCACATTTTCAGCGCAGTGCATTGCACATTTTCAGCACAGTGCATTGCACATTTTCAGCGCAACAGTTGTGGTCTTTTTCAGAATTTATGTGCAACACAAGAAACACATGTTTTTCTGAAAGGCTGATTGGTTACATTTGAACTTTGTGCTGTATAACTCTTAAAAGGCAGTCCAGCAGAATCATCATATATTTATATACCTCATATAAGCACAAATATATTATTTATGTGGGGGAAAATCTGACGTAAAATTTAGAATGAATCGAATATTAATATATAATTGTATCATTTATACAGCCGAGACATATTTCTTTTAACCATCAGCACCCCTTTTGTAAATGCACTTTAGATTTATTCCACACGTTTCATCCACACAAGACAATCTGCTGAATATACTGGTCATATTAAATGCTAGTGTGGTTTTGACAGCCTAATAACTGATTCTATATATAAATATATATAACTTTTTTTTAACTACATTCTGACATGTACAAAACCGAATCAGTTCTCACAACATATAACATGGTTGTAAAAAGCCTGTAATGTCTCTTGCATTGTATAATATATTCATTAATAACCGTATTATACTCGACAATCTAACCTTTTAAAAGTTCATATTAAATGTTGATGTGATAAAAGGAAAAGTAACATAACAAAATGTATAGTAAAATAAAGAACCCTTTATCTGTTGCATCTGCGGCTAGAATCATTGCTTTGTTTCTTTATGCACCAACTGGTAATTAGTGGGTGATGCCGTAAACAGCACACCAGCCACCTTTACCTCCCAGGACCACCTGGGCACCCATCTTAGTCTGGACTGACCTAGGAGCCAAGATCATTATTACAATGTTGAATTGCTGAATAAGGAATCGACATCATAGCACTCGGGGCACCCCCATAAGCGCTCCGTTCCCATCTTTAGTAGCAAGTGAAGAGTTCCAATTCCGATGGTACCAGTAACTGATTGTAAATCTGTCTCCCCTTTCCCCCCGAGTGTTGGGCGCCAGCCAGAACCCCTTTGAAACTCCTCGCAGCACCATTCTCCCCAGACTGTAACGATCTATCTGTGCTTCCTCACTGTTCAATCACTCCTAAAGAGCCCTCAAACATCCAGCTCATTATTACAAATCTGACTCAATGAGGATTTGAACCCAAGACTGAAGATTTCACAGCCTACCCATAAACACCAACACAATGTGCCCACCATTCTCTAATGGCAGATGCAGAAAAAAAATTCTCACATAAGCATGTTATGCTATGTTTTATTATCACAATTGACGTCACTGCACATTCAGCATTCCCATGCTTGCTCAGTCCTCCGATGCAGCAGCCACTCTAAAGTACTTCTACTAATTGTCTCCATGAGAAGCTGGTTATATTGTCTCCTATCTCGGCCTCGAAGACGGCATAGGTGTGATTCACCATGCTTTACTCCCGTGTCACGCAATCGTGTTAGTGTCTGAGATTCCTCGTTATCCACTAGCTCAGTCCGTACAGCGTTGCCGATATCTGCTCTGTCCATACTTCTTCCCACATGCTTTAGTGCAATGTTTGCCAGTTGGTCCGCTCGCTCATTTCCATTTACTCCTGCATGACCAGATGTGTAGATCCAGATGAGGAAGGTTAAGTGCAATTTTTGAATGCTTTCTACCCATTCAGAGGGCATACAACCTGTTGCTATCTTCTGAAGCATATTTATGGAGTCTGATACAAAAACTGAATGTGTGGCAGTTTGCTCGGATACCCATGCTAAGGCTGTAGAAGCAGCGGCTATTTCCATAGTCATGTTTGACGTGGTTGTCTGGTAAGCGCCGCTGTCTTCCTGTATTGTTTCCCCCCTTCTTTGCGCTGTGTATGCCCTTTGCTGACAATAATCCACGCTTCACTGATCTATCTGTGTAGATGATATCTTCTGGGTCTGAATGCTGATCTATCGGTTATCTTACCTCTGTGTCTACGGTCGCAGGAATTTGACCCCTGCTGTACCTTCTGAGTGTGCTGACAACTTTAGAGATGCCATGCATGTCTATTGGTGTATTCGGTGACTGATCACGTCTAGATCACATACCTGCTGGATTAAAT